ATACATATATACATATATATATATATATGAGAGAGAGAGACAGAGAGAGAGAAAGAGAGAGAGAGAGAGACTGAAAGTGTTTCTAGAGAAATAATACCGTATTAGTTTTTAACTTTGCTTCTTCAATCTGACTAAATTTGAAGGCACTGATAACTCTGCCTCCAGTCGCAAAGAGTGAGGTACTGCTAATCCTTGGCACGAGGTGGCAATATTAACACCTAAAATAACACCAGTGGATCATGTACTGGGGAGAAGCGAGGCTCCAAGTGATCATGGGTTTGATATCTTTCTGCAGTTTTGCCAGGATGAGAAGTATAGGGAAGCTGCTTGGTTGGTCCTGCTTACAAGAGACCAGGTGGTAAAAGAAAGAGGTGGGCTCAGGGCTAAAGTGTCATGGCTCAAGCGCCACATAAAAGACCTCAAAGTTTCTACTTGTGTCCTGAAAGAAAGTCCCCTTTTCTGTAGTGGCAGGGCTGATAGTACCGAAAATCAGACCCAAAATCTTATTGTAAGAGTAGATGAATTACAACACCGGCACAAGTCCCAACCTGGAGAGGTGTCCAATGCTAAAGTGAGGGCAGTGATTGGGAAGAAATGGGATCCTGAAATGGGATGGGAACATCTGGGCAGATAATCAGGAAGCTGGGGTTATAGAGCCTGTTGATTCCATTGAGTCATTCTTGCCAACAGCCCACCCCTCCCGTCTAAAGAGATTACTTTATTACCAGTGAAAACATCTCCTCTGCCCACTCTTGATGAGATTAACTCAACTGTGCCTGCTGAGATGATGCCTGAGGCATCATCTATGGAAATGTCTTGCAAGACATTGTTGAATGTTCCCAGGAAACATCTCCACCAATCATTGCTTCGAGACCTATAATTGGAGGTGGGGCGCTATGGGTTAAATCACTGGACCGCAAGTCAGTTTGAACCACAAGGTTGGCAGTTCAGACTCACCAGCTGCTCTTTGGAAACCCTATACAGGGTTGAAATGAGTCGGAACTGACTCCACAGCACTTAAACAAGGACTAATTGAAGAGTATAGAATTCTTCAGGGAGTGTTAAGAGAAATGGAAACACTTCCTTCAGAAGAGTATAGCCTTAGATGGAGATTACGTAGAGAAACAATAGCACCCCATTTTGATGTTTTTGTTTAATAAAGATTTCTATGATTTGGTAGCAATACGTTTTGCCTAACTGTTGTATTTCAGTTGTATATTCTACCTTGTAACATGGTATTTCATAAAATTACATATTTATAAACTACAAAAAGCAGGATAAACAGGATTTATGGATGGTTTTACTTGTATAAAGATAGATGTATGCAGTCACTTTTTATTTTGGCTTTGTATGTCTTACTCTTTATCTGGTACTTCTTTTTCCTCTTCAGCTTCAAGGTGGGGCAGAGCCAACTCCAGTGGCCACTGTGCCTACGTGTCAGCCTATCTTCCAAAACCTGAGATCCTTCATGTGTCTGCAAACATGGCTTCCTCTCCACCTAAACTTTCCCAGTGGAGGATCCGAATCTCTTGAAGCCCTCCTTGATTTCTCGGGCCCTCTCTTGAGCTCTTGCAGCATTCCCTGGACTGCTTTGGCTGTTAGCGTTCGTCCTCCCTCCACCATCAGTTCTGGGAACAGTTCTGAAGACCCCAGGTCCCTCTCCCAGATTTGTGACTTTGGCTGAGTCACCAAACCTCTCTGTGTCTCAGGCGTCTCATTTGTAAAACGTAGACGGCAATTCCAATGAAGAGGTTGTTAGGTTGTGGGCTCCCAGCAGTTAGGGCACCCTGCTTTGAGCGGGGCAAACACCCCAAAACAAGACCAGCGATTTAATTGCTCAGAACCTTAAACACCGTTCATCCTAAAGACATAGTGCTCCTGTTTCTCCCCTGGGATGGAAGCCTTGGTTTTCTCGCCCTGGAGTCCCCAGCCAAGAAGCCCAACTGGGCCGGAGGTCCAGCGCTAGCTCCGCCTCGCCCCGCCCAGTTCAGCACAGGCCCCGCCCCACAGCCCTGCCCACATCCTCTCGGGCTCCGCCTCAGGTCCCGCCCACACCATCGCTTGCCCGGGCAAAGCCGGTCTCTCCAGGTCCTCCTCTGGTTGGTTGGCCTCCCGCCCGAGCCCCGCCCCTCCTACCATAACTTCCGGGCAGAGACGCCACCGAAGGCGGAACTGTGTGTTGAGAGGCTGCGAAGCTGGGCTGAGGTGTCCCTATCTTGCACTTCCTGGCGCTTCCGGGTCCGGACTCTGGGAAGCAGAGGCGACCGCGGGGCAGAGCGAGACGGGGTGGACATGCGGCTGTTGCGGGACCCTACGGACTCTGGAAGTTGAGTCCAGGTGGACCCCTGTCCCTCCTCGGGGTCCTCTCGGCGCTCCGAGGCCGGCCAGACCCCCACTATGACCGCGGCCGCCGCCTCCAACTGGGGGCTGATCACCAACATAGTCAACAGCATAGTGGGGGTCAGTGTGCTCACCATGCCCTTCTGCTTCAAACAGGTGAGTGCCCGCGGCGTTCACCCCGTTCTTGTGCCTCTGGCCCCACCAGGAAGGTGTAAATAAGGCCCAGGCGATGCCGCCCCGTTCCCTGGGCACCACAGTGTTGGAGCAAATGAACTCCCAGAAGTGGACACAAGGGATCCACCGCCCTGACATTCACGGGTCCCACGCTTTAAAACGAGAAGGGGCGCCCCAGCTGTCAGTGGAAGAAAAGCTCATCTGTACCAGCAAGTTGGCGCCACCCCGACAGTGCCGACCCCGGGAGAAGCCTGAGTGGGTCGTCCACAAGCACACAGACTTGGTGTTCTGAAGAAGAGGCTGGTGGAACTGTATGTCACCTTCCTGCCACCGGACTCGTCCTAACAAGTGTGCGTCTCCTGGCCCACTTGTGGGGTCTGACTCCAGGCGTGTCTGCAACTTCCGGCAAGAGCAGGTGGCAGCAAAGGCCACCAAGACGAAGCCCAAGAGAGGGAAAAAGAAAACAGGATGGCCGTTTTGGGAGCTGAAATGGGCAACTGTTGTTGTTGTTATGTGCCATGTGCCGTAGTGACCCTGCACAGGGTTTCCGAGGCTGTAAATCTTTACGGGAGCAGAAAGCCTCCTCTTTCTCCCGCGGAACAGCTGGTAGTTTCAAACTGCTGACCTTAAGGTTTGCAGCCCGATATTTCATGTGTATCTTTTAAGACAATACTGTGTTTTTGGTGAATATTCATACAACAAAGTTCCCCTTGGACAATTTCCACCCAGAATGATCAATGACATTAGGGTAGTTTCAGATTAACAGACACATCGGTGGGTTTTATATTTTGCATCTTTTGGGTAAAAAAATAGCAAAAAGTATACTTTTTTTCAATCTGGGAACACATCAAGGCCTGCAGCCTGCGGGGGCTGAGCTGTGTTCTGAGTTTTCCTGTGTGAGTTGGACGTTTGGCTTGGCTGGCAAGTGTGTAGGTGTGAGGACTGAGATAGTGCCAGTTGCAGGTGGCTGAAGGCCGAGTTGGCAGCTTCTAGGACCCTGGGGTGACATCTGTATTGAGGGCTTTGGATTCTAGCGGGGCGCCCCCTTGGGTGTGTCCCAGCATGCCCTGTGGCTTGCCCATCGGAGCACACTGCATCCTGGGATGTGGAATGCCATCCTGGACAGCTGTCCGGAAGTACCCCACAGCTAGGTTTATCAGAGCTCTAGGTGAGGCAGGTCTGCGGACTCTGAAGGACTCTGAATGCCAGCCGGAGGAAGTAGAGGCAAGCAGGCAGTCAGGTCTGGGGAGTGCAGCATCATCGTGTGAGGTGAGGTGTCTGGGCTCCCCCATTGCACCTGTCGCCCTGGGACTGGACCCTGATGTGCTGTGAGGCCAGCAGGCAGTTTGGGGGACATGCTTTCAGTGTCTGGCAATGGTGCCTTTAAATTTTTTAATAAAGTAGTTTTGTTAATTGAAAAGTAAATTCCAATTTATCCAGGATTAGTTTCCATGCAGGGGCAGTGATGGTCCAGCAGTAGAATTCTCACCTTCTACCTGGGAGACGTGGGTTCACTTTGCAGTCATTGTACCTCACGTTCAGCCTCCGCCTGGCTCGTCAGTCGGGCTTCCAGACTAAAGGCCTGGGGATGAGACAGTGAGGACCATGTGGATCACAGCGTTCCAATCCATTGTGCACAGGGCCAGTTTACATGCTATGAAATTCATCCTCTTTAGCCAGTAGGCCTATGGTCACACCAAAGTCCCCATAGCCTCCCAGTTCTCAAGCTGTAGTTAGCCCAACCCCTGGCAACACTCAGCAGTTGGCTGGTCTTGCAGTTTTGCCTTTTGCAGAATGTCATGTGACATTTTGAGTTTGACCTTTCTTGCTCAGCGTAATGCATTAGAGACGCATCCATGGGGTTGTGTACCAATTGCTCATCCCTTATTTATTACTGAGTAATACTCCCTTTAAGGAGCTCTGGTAGTGTAGTGGTTATGAAGCGGACTGCTAACCTCAGGGTCAGCAGTTTGAAACTATCAGCTGTTCTGCGGGAGAAAGAGGCGGCTTTCTGCTCCCGTAAAGATTTATAGCCTCGGCAACCCTGTACAGGGTCACTGGGTCAGAACTGACTCCACGGCACACAACCACAACAGTATTCCCTTTGCTGGACAGTGAATAAGGAAGAGCAAACAAAACTGGATGTGTTTGAATTGTGGTGTTGGTGAAGCATCCACGACATTGTGGACTCAGAGAAACAAGCAGATCTGTCCTGGAAGAAGTGCAGCCAGAATGCTCCTTAGAAGCCAGGAGAGCAAGACTTGGTCTCTCATAATTGTCCATGTTGTCAGGAGGGACCAGTCCCTGGAGAAAGACATCATGCTTGGTAAAGTGGAGGGTCAGTGAAGAAGAGGAAGACTCCCCCCACCCCCCTAAGATGACTGGCACAGTGGAAGCAGCAGTGGGCTAAACGTGGCAACGATCGATTGGATTGCGGGAATGGTGCAAGACCGGGTTGTTTGGGTCTGGGTGAAGTGCTCGGAGTCAGAACATACTCGATGGCACCTAACCACGCTATTCCCTTGTATGGGTGGGCCACAGTTTGCCATTCACCTGCTGAAGGACATGTGGGTGGTCTGTAGCTTTTGGAGGTTGGGGAGAAGCCTGCCATCAGCAGCAGATTGCGGTGTGAACACGTTTCCATCGCTCTTGGGTAAACAGCCAGGCATGCAGTTGCTGGATCACATGGTGTGTGTCTGTGTAACTGTCTGAGAAAGGTGTAAATGTCATTTTTAATCTCTCCGTCCAGAACGTGTTTACCGCTTGTAGTCGTTGATATAAGTCGCTAAAAGGTGGCACACTGTACGGTGGCTGCTGGGGTCCCTGGGTCCTCTGGGAATCCCGCACAGGTTTTACGTTGTGGAGCAAAGTGTGTGACCTCAGTACTGGGTGCTGTCCCCTGTAGGCAGGGTCACGCAGACCACTGGAGCCCTCTGGACACTGGGCTCAGGCTTTCAGAGGTGAAATGATTTGGGAAAGGTAGTGAGAATGACCGTATAAACTGAAACGTGGGCATCATCTGAGCTGTAGATGCGGAAGGTGTCCTGCCGGCAACTGGTCTAGTGTGTGCACAAGAGGGCTTTGCAGAGTTCATGGGAAAAAACTGTTTGAAGCGCCCTCGTATTTTCACCGCATTAAAAACAACAACAACAGTCAGAGCCAGCTACTTGAAACCTGCTGTGGGTGCCAAGGACGCCTCTGCGTCCTGTTTTGTGACTGCTGGCTTTCCTCTCCCCCCAGTGTGGCATCCTGCTGGGCGCACTCCTCCTGATGTTCTGCTCTTGGATGACGCACCAGTCCTGCATGTTCCTGGTGAAGGCCGCTAGCCTGAGCAAGCGGAGGACCTACGCCGGCCTGGGTGAGGCGCACGGAACAAGGGGCCTCGCTCCTTTTATTTCTGTACATTTACTTCCACTTTATCCTTAAGATTTCTTTAGAAATCTTATTTAAAAATGCAATGTGATTCTTAAAACTGAAGCGACTCAGAAGATGAACGTCCCGCCCCCCGTGCTCCATTTCCCGTTCAGATAGATGGGCACGCTGCTGTCTCTCCTCCTAAATCAAGGCAGACTGTCCTCCTTGTCCTTGCTGTCTTGTTCCTTCTCTAAGGGCCATGAGTGCCCCCAAGTCTGCCCCCCTGGTGTGTGGAGACGCCGTCCCTGGGCCCTCCATGCAGCACTTCGTGTGGGTGATGGAATGGCAGTGTGTGTGCTCCAGGACTGGGTGTCTGTGAGAGCTTCTGAGCCCCTGCTAATGTGTGGCCCACCTGGCCGAGTAATGCGGACAGAGGAGAGGGCATGCGGTGCTTCTGAACCAAGCCTGCCAGGAGTTGTGTGGGCTGCCAGTGGGCATCCACTCCCTTCCAGCTGGCGACTGGGCACCGGTACCAAGTGGACAGCGTTTCTTTCTGAGCTTGGAGCTGGGGTAGTCCTGGGATCCGAGGAGGCCTTTGCAGTTGCGGGGTATCTGCACTGGGGGAAGAGGGCTCAGAGCTCAGAGGATTCAGGAGCTGGAGTGCCTTTTGTGTTGAGGGGGGACTTTGGAGCTGGGGAGTCTTTGAATCTGGGGACTTTTGGAGTTGAGGTGTCCCCTGGAGCTGGGGGCTGTTTTCAAACTCTCCGAGACTGGTGTTGCACGAGGGTTGGCATCCCCTGAAGCAGCAGATAGAGACCTTGGACAGGGTCCTGGTGGGCGGTGGCCTGTGGGGGAACTGTGGACAGGAACCGTGGACAGGTCCCCTTCAGCTGGCTGACCATGCTTCCATCACTGAGGAGACAGACCTGTTTGGTTGGATGCAAAAGAGATCTGCGGCTTCTGTCGCTGCCCACGGTGCACCGCCTGCGTACTCGGAGAAGGGCCACACCCGGGCTTCTGGGTTGTAACTTGTGAGTGGGCATTTCCTGCCAAAGAGTCCTGGTGGCACTGTGGGCTACGCACTGTAACCACAAGGTTGGCAGTTCAAACCCACCGATTGTGTGCGCTTGTAAAGATGGCAGCCTTGGAGACCCTGTGCAGCCGTAAGAAGTTCGAACCAACTCCACGTCTGTGGGTTTGGTTTTTGATTTGTATTTCTGTTTCTGCACCCAGTTCTCTGAGGGAGGGTAAGTGACAACCTCCGCCCGAAGTGGGTTTCTGTTGGGAGCGGTGTCGGCCCCTGCTGGGCCTGCAGGGTGACCTCTCCTCTGGCACTGACCCGTGGCTTGGTACTAAAGGTGGTGAAGTCAAGCCTTTTGGCCCACTCCGTCCCTCCGTCCCAGATGCAGCTGTGGGGCACCTTCAGCACTCACTGGTCCGAGATGGCCAGCCTGCGTCTCCCCCATCTGGGGTAGTGCACTCCAGCCCCCACTGTTACTAGAGGTGGCAGGCAAGGGGCTGCGGATGGTGGGGGCACTGAGCCTTCACGCTGCAGGGAGAGGAGGGGGCAGATGTGGGGGACACAGGCTGCAGGTGGGTCCTTGGGAAAGGTGCAAGGTACGCAGGACTGAAGAGAGCTCTTGACTGGTCCCAAGATGTCAGCTGCACCCACGCATTTGTGTTTGTGTCCTGGTTAGACGTGGCAGAGGAGGTGGCCGCTGAAGTGGGGGCTTGTGTGTGTACATTCACAGACTGGGTCCTAGGTGAGGAGGGCGGGGAAGAAGGGAGCCTGGGGTCCACTCCACACCCCTCAGCACAGGGCAGCTGGAGCGCTGAAGAAAGCGTCTTGACTGGGGTCTCTGACTTCCTGGGACCTGTGTGTTCCGGAAGCTTTTTGGCCCGGCGAGCTCAGCTGGTATGCGCTGAAGAATGGAGTGGACAGCCGTCCCATGGAGCTGCCCCCCCTCCCCCCCCACCGCAGTCTAGGGCACTGAGGTTCTGGGTTGTGTCAAAGGCTGCTGCCCAGCCACTGTCTTTGGGGCGGGGGTGGGGGTGGGGGGGTGTTTGTGGCTTCAGCATTGTCCTAGGTGAGGGGACGGCTTTGACCAGGCCCTTGCCTGCTCATAGGACTTGTGGAAATTTTAGTTTTGTGGGTCTCGGCTTCAACCTTGACCCTCATTCTGTGTCCTGACCTGTCTCTGGGTGTCGATGGCTTTGTAACTTGCAGGGCAGGGTCTTGGGGATGCACTTGGACAGGCGCAGGAGAAGCTGAGTGACCTCTCAGCCCAGAGATGGAAGCCTAGCCACCTTGTCTGTGCTGCCCCTCCCTCCATATTCCAAGTCATCCTGGTGGAGGAGCTCCGACCCCACCTGGAGGGAAGAGACGCAGGCAGAAGTGGCCCCTTGTGGCTGCTCCCCTTCCCCTGGGCTGGGCCCGGGTGGGAGCTTGCTGAGCCAGTTTCTGGTTTATTGCCCACTGGAAGACACAAGGTTTTCAGGAAGGACAGACAGCTGTAGGGGTGGGGGGATGTGCGCTGACCCAAAAGCCAGAGCTTGAGCCCCATCCTCCAGGGAGGGACACTGCATCTTCCTCTACACATTACAGCCCAGGACGGGGAGTCACATGTGGGTGACATAGATGGAGATCTGGGGAGACCAGTGGGTTTCAGTCAGCTGGGGTGCATGAGAGCTTTGGGGGGCTGTGTTTGTGCCATCCTGAGCACACCGCGGGCCCCACACAGTCCCTTCGGTGGTAAAGCCATAGGTAACAAACCATTGGATATTTCAGCAGTCTTCCCATGTACAGTTGAGTGACATTAATCATGGTCAGCACGCTGTTCTGTTCACCACTATCGGCTCCCACATTTTCCCTTCACCCTTTTAAGGGGCTCAACGTCCCCCTCCCCTGGTCACCTGTCTGCGTGAGTCTGTTTTCCATACTTGATTGCAGTGGGATTGGACACTCTGTGTGTGATAGCTCAGCATTTTCAAGATCCGTCCCTGTGGTTTCCTGGATCAGAACCTCCTATCTCTTGGCTGAGTAGTGCACCGTGCTGTGGGTAGACCGACCATGTTCTGTTTGCTTGTTGCCTGTATGTGGACTGTTCCTGTTCCACTTTCCAGCTGTAGTCAGGGAGAACTGTTTCCCTGGTGACTTTTTGAAAGCATTTTTTGAGAAAAAGAACCTGCCTTGTGTCCCTCCCTTGTACTTTCTGTTGGCAGGGAGTAGGTCTGGAAAAAGCTCAAGGACCAAGATGAAAAATGACCCCCTTCCACCCGCGACATTCTAGCACCGATCAATCTTTGTTTTTGCTGACATGCCTCTCACGCTAGCACGCTGAGTGTTGACTCCCTTCTGTCTTTCACTAGCGTTTCACGCCTATGGGAAAGTTGTGAAGACACTGGTGGAGACCAGGTAACCCGGCCCCTTGCTGCCCACCCAGACGTATTCCTCTTCCTCCTCTCCCCTCTGCTAAGGACAGACTTGAGGCTGTCACAGAATGAAGAACACATTTCGTCTGTGGACCCGATTAAAACTTGGAATATGTTTCTGAAGTACTACCTACTAAAAAGCTGCAAGTCCAATTTATTGTGTCCTTAAAATGATTCGTGTCAAGGTGAAAAGCTTTCTTTAAGTCTCACTAAGAAAAATGTAAAAACGGCAAACGTGGAACACAGCAAAATTGCTCTCCCTTAGTGTCAGTTCATCTCCCCCTGCTGGTCCTAAAAGGCCACACACTCCCTGCACCTTCCCCTGATTAAGGCAGCTTTAAGTGGAAAATGGCATCTTCTTCCTTCCGAGTAAAACTTAGGGGATGGAAAGACGACCGGCTGGGAGAGGGCACGTTTCGGGAGTTGTAAACTGGAGAAAACAACCCTTTTTAGAAACCTGATAGTTCCTTTCAACTTGGGTAACATGGCGGTACATTTTTGTAGCACCTGAAAGAGCTCTTTGAACTTCCTGCAGAGGGAAAATTAAAATACCGCATCTAGAATAGGTTAGTGTTCTTCAGTAATTATTCCAAGTCGAATAGTGACTGCTGTGAAATACGCCCAAGCCCCTAAACCGTGGAGTCGTCCTGAGTCCCCCATGGGCCCTGGAGGTGGGCTGGAGCTCGCTCCATTCTTTGAGGACGTGCCCTTGTCTCACTGTTTGTCCGCTGTGGGCATGACTGTCGGTGTGATGGGACGGTGGCACCTTCTGGAGTTTCTTTAAGCTTGGCTTGCTTTCTTTGCAGCATGATTGGGCTCATGCTGGGCACCTGCATTGCTTTTTACGTTGTCATCGGTGACCTGGGCTCCAACTTCATTGCTTGGCTGTTTGGGTTTCAGGTAAGGATGCATTCAGATGTGTGGTTTATGTGCATGTACATTTTGTGTGCTCATGGCCCTAGTGCAAGTCCCCATGGACAGCAGGTGGATAGCAGCTCAGCCATCTGCATTAAGCCTGGGGTCAGCCCAGTCCTGAGAATCAGAATGCAGGGACTCAGGGGGAGTAACGCCTGGGAAGAGGGAAGAGAGGAAGTGGGGAGCGGAGAGGCCTCTAGGCCATAGAAAAAGGTTCCCTCCGGAGTCCACCATCAGGGATCAGCAGCGCTGCCGAGAGTCCCCAGGATTCATGGTGTCCACGTATCGCTAGGACCCTGGGGGAGCATGAGGGCTCCATGTGCCTCCAGGCTGGGGGGACAGGGACAGGGACAGGGCAGATGTGTGGCAGGAACCAGGGGCCCACCCTAGAACAAGCCCCAGTTTGGAGTATGGGAATGTTTTCTGGGTCAGAGTCAGTCTTCCTTCTGCAACAGGGTGTGTCCAGTTCAGGCTGGGTGTCCCCATACCCATGACTTGGCTGGATGCTGAAGGAGCCAGTAGTGCTCAGTGACTGCAGAGCACTGCCCTGGGCTGACAGGGAAGCTTCCAGAAGCAGTCGGCTCTGACTGAAGCCTCACTGGCTTTCTGTTCTTAGATGTAACTGGCTCTCTAGGGTTGTGTTCACCTTTCAGCAGGGACATGACTGCAAGGTACCTACATGTCCTCATCTGTCAGTGAGGGCGCCGTGGGCCCCTGCGTGTGCTCACCTGTCAGTGAGGGCGCCGTGGGCCCCTACGTGTGCTCACCTGTTGGTGAGGGGGCCGTGGGCCCCTTTGTGTGCTCACCTGTAGGTGAGGGCGCTGTGGGCCCCTACGTGTGCTCACCTGTCGGTGAGGGGGCCGTGGGTCCCTGCGTGTGCTCACCTGTCGGTGAGGGCGCTGTGGGCCCCTTTGTGTGCTCACCTGTCAGTGAGGGGGCGTGACTGCAGGCCCCTCACCTCCTCCTGCCGGCTCCCCCAGGTGACCGGCCACTTCCGTGTCATCCTGCTGGTGGCAGTGTCTGTGTGCATTGTACTACCGCTCAGCCTACAGCGAAACATGATGGCCTCCATCCAGTCCTTCAGCGCCATGGCTCTCATCTTCTACACGGTCTTCATGTGTGTGGTGCGTCTGGGCATGCAGGCGGGCGGGGCCACCTCCAGGGGGTGGGGCGGGGCCACCCCGGGGATGGGCCTAGCCTGATAACTGGCTCCCTGCAGATTGTGCTCCTGTCACTCAAGCACGGCCTCTTCCGTGGGCAGTGGCTGCGGCGGGTCAGCTACGTGCGCTGGGAGGGCATCTTCCGCTGCATCCCTATCTTCGGCATGTCCTTCGCCTGCCAGTCGTGAGTACCTGGGCCGCAGGACAGGGGAATCTGTGTGGGGGCTGCAGGTAGAAGAGCCTATGGACAGGGGTCTGTGGGGGGGGGGTCCTTTGCAGGGAGACACTGAGTAGAGGGGCCTGCGGGTACAGGGGGGGCATTAGTGGAAAGGTCCTGTGTTGGGGGGGCCACTGGTGGAGGGTTCTATATTGGGGAGTACTAGTGGAGAGTCTTGTGTTGGGGAGCACTAGTGACGGTCCTGTTTGGGGGGGGCAGTAATGGAGGATCCTGTGTTGGAGGCATTAGTGGAAGGTCCTGTGTTGGGGGTCTCGGTGTTGGGGGCCGGCTGCTACTCCTCTTTCCTTGTACGGCACCTCACACACGTCTCAGGAGCAGTGTTCTACTGTGCCTCGTGCCTCCCCAGCTGAAGGACATGGGTGCTCTCGTCAGGAGGTGGCTGGTATCCCCCTCCGTGGGCTGAGCTGCTGAGTGTCGCTGGCACGAGGGCTGGTTTGCCAGTCCTCCACGAGCAGAGCTGGCTGTGGGCTCGGTAGCGGCCCCGCGCCATCTGATGAGGCGGCACCCTCTGCGTTTGCCAGAAGCGAGCTGTTTGTCTGAGGGTGCTGAAAAGGAAACCGCACAGACTTGACTTCAGACTGCTGTGGGGCGGCACTCGGAGCCTTGCATGTGTGTGCGTGAGTGGTGTGTGTGAGCACGGTCCCTGGCAGAGCTGCCCTCCTCTCTCGCCGTGCACACATGGTACCAGTTGTCAACGCCTTTGACAGATAGGATGTGTTCCCATGCTGTGTTGACACCGTGTGTGCGCCGCCTCGTCTCCCGAGCACTCAGCCATGCTGCCAGCGCCCCCACCAGCGTCGGTGGCAGGAGTGGCACCCCGCATCCTCCGTGGGCCTCGGTGGTGTGCGTGTGCACATGTGAGCATGTCAGCCCATGTGCCTGCTGGGTGGAGGGCGTGTGCACACGTGTCCTACCTGGTAGGGGTGTCCAGGTGTCCTGCTCCCCGGAGTAAGAGTACCGCTCAAGCACTGGCTGTAGCCTCACCAAGTGAGGTGTTTCCCCGCCCACTGAAACTGTCGGGGGTGGGGGGGGGTGGGGGGGGGACGTCAAGCCCCGCCCCACGTTACCCACTCAGGCGTCCTCCCGGCTGCATTGACTGACTGCTCTTCGGCCTCTAGACCCTGGAGAGCCTGTTCAGACTGGCCGCTGTGGGCCCCAGGCGAGGCGGCCACTGCGCTGGGCGGTGCCACGAGGCGGGAGGAAGGTGCAGAGAGCTGCATAGGGAAGCGCCTGTGGAAATTCGACTGAATTTGGAGTTTGAAAGGAGGGCCTCGCCGGGTGCCGTCAGGGATGCGTAGCAGGAGGCCTCAGCAGGACGGCGCAGTCTCTCTCTCTTATAGCTCAGATGCAAGGGGCTTCCTTGTGGCCATTTGTGGGCCAGGGCTGGGTTCTTCCCACTCCCCTCCACCCCACCACCAATAGCAGATTCTGTGGCCAGGTCCCCTGAGCCCTGAACTAGCCCCCCTACACTGGGTGTGATCTTCCTGTGGTCAGTACTGGAAGGCCAGGCGCTGTCTTCTACCTGAACCCCTACTGAGTCAGTCCAGGTAATGAGGCACCTGCCCTGGTCAGTGCTCCCTATTGCCCTCCTTCCCTCCTCCACTCTGTAAAGATGTATGGGGATCTGACCCTGCTGATCCTTCCAGTGGTCATCAAAGTGTCTCCGTGTGTCACGGGGACCATCCTGCTGGGCTTTAGGGACTGGGACCTTTCAGACTTTGCAGACCTCCTGGCCTGCCTTCGGAGGCACCTGGGGGTTAACTTGAACCTCCAACCTCTCTGTCAGCAGCAGCACACGCCCACCATTGACACCCCCCCAAACACGTGTCTATCTATATACTGGTCCCTTTCTGCTCCCTATCATCCTGACTGCTGGCCCAGCGTTCTCTCTGCTTTCTTCTGCAGACCCCCGTGTTCACACCCACCCCTCTGTCTCACTGAGGCCCCCTCCTGCCTGCCCATGCCACACCCTGTCCACCCAATTCTGGCCAGTGGGTCAGGGGCCCTCCCAGTGTGCCATAATTTGACTCTTCTGAACTGTGAATACAGAGGATGTTGTAGGATTGGGCTCCAAGGGTTTTTTTCCACACGTCTCTCACAGTAGTTCAGTGGACAAAGTGCTGGGCTGCTAACCAAAGGTTGGTAGTTCGAGTCCACAGTCCGCCTATAGGAGAACGATGAAGCAGTTGGCTTCCATAAAGATTTAATCTTGGGGACCCTATGGGGCTGCTGTGTCCTGTAGGGTCACCGTCGGGGTGGGTTTGGCTTTGCCCCCTGGATGCTGTGGCCCTGGTATCATCATCATCATCTTGGTGCATGTGAGGGGTGCTCGAAGTAGGGAGGGCGTCTCCTCTGGACGCTGTGTGAAGCAGCCGTGTCCCTGCAGCCAGGTCTTGCCCACCTACGACAGCCTGGACGAGCCCTCGGTGAAGACCATGAGTTCCATATTCGCGTCCTCCCTCAACGTGGTCACCACCTTCTACATCACGGTAGGGGCTCCTTGTCCTGCTCCCCCTGTACCTGCCCTGACCGCTCCCCTGTTGTCTGCTGAGCGCCAGCTACTTCTGGCCCAGCCATATAGCCCCACCGACCGGCTCCCCCAGCTGCCTCCACTCAGGTATTTGGTGTGGGGTAAGCTTTACCTGGGGTCTCTTGTCATGGTCGAGTGACTCTCGCCATGGAAACAGGTTTCCTTCCCCAGAGAAAAAGTATACGTGTGAGAAAGCAGAGGAAGAAAATCACCCAAACACGTCCCCATTGGCTTTCTGGAACGTCCCCTCCATGTCTCACATCAGTGCACTGTAAATGCACTGGGATTCTGACTTGCTTTGCTTCCTTTGCTGTGGGGTTGATGGCCCATTTCTCTAGCTACTGCAGGTGGTCCGTGGAGACCATGGGTACTGCCCATGTTGCACTCATGGCATCACGTCCACACACCCTCTGTGGCGTGGACTCGGCCAGGCCCCAAGTGACCACGGGCTCCCTCTGTTCTTTGGAGGGCAACTCTTTGTTCTCGGGAACACACTGTCTAGTGCTCGGCGGGCGCTTCTGGGTGTCCTCATCAGCCATCCTGCATAGTGTGCCTTCCCTCAGGGGCTTGCTGGACAGGGTGCGGTGGGCAGCCCCATCTCGTCTCCCTCCAGGTGGGCTTCTTTGGGTACGTGAGCTTCACTGAGGCCATTGCCGGCAACGTGCTCATGCACTTCTCATCCAACCTGGTGACGGAGGCCCTGCGCCTGGGTTTCCTGATGTCCGTGGCTGTGGGCTTCCCCATGATGATCCTGCCGTGTAGGCAGGCGCTCAGCACTCTCCTCTTCGAGCAGCAGGTGAGGCCCTGGGTGTGGCTCCTGAAGCCTAGTGGGAACGCTTGGTACCGACTGACTTTGGAGAAAGGAGCACCGGAAGCAGGGGACCCCTGATTAGGCTCTGCCACTGGGGACACCCTCACCTGCAATACTGTCTTCAAACCAGAGAAGCTGAAGGCAGTTGGGGGCTTCATGCAGTTGGGCTGGGTGGCCGCCAGGGGGCACGGGTGGACATGACCGGAGGCTCCGACAGTGGAGCCTGGTGCACCTCCGTGGGGGGTGGGGGGTGGGGATTTGCCAAGTTCCCTGTAGGGCTGCCTGTGGCATCTCAAGCTTGGCGCTGGCAGGTGACACCTCTGCCCTGCCCGGGACCCTGCTCCCCCTCGTCCTGGCAGGGGTCCTCTGGGGCTATAGGTCAGAGACACCCACATCCTGGGCTCTCCTGAGGCTGGTCTGATGCCACCATCAGTCTGTGGGTTACAGGTGAGGGAAATGCCACCTGACCAGAAGTCCCAGGGAGGAGCTGGCGCTGTTCTCCCACACCACGGGCAGGAGGTGCCCACTGGGCCATGTTCACAGGCTCAGCAGACACTGCGCCATGCTGCTTCCTGGTCTGGTGCAGCCAAGTCTTACCCTCTCCAACCCCTGGGCCTGGACCTTAAAACTGACTGGCTGCTGGGCATGCCTCTGCTGGAGCAGAGCTGAATGTCGGGGAGTCTGCCTGCACCCCAAATCAGCTGTTTGAACTGCCTCCGTGGCCAGCCTGGTGGCTCTATAGTTGGCCGCACGATCTCCTCGCTCCTGAAGGAAGCACAGGAGCTTTGCTGCCACCGTTTAGTCAGCTTTGTCCAGCCATGGTGCGAGCAGGCCGAGCAGGCCAGAGGAGCCAGCCTCACCTCTGCCTGCCCCTCTCTCCCTGTTGCAGCAGAAAGATGGCACTTTTGCCGCTGGGGGTTACATGCCCCCTCTCCGCTTCAAGGCGCTTACCCTCTTGGTGGTGTTTGGGACCATGCTCGGCGGCATCCTGATCCCCAATGGTATGGAGATGCCCCCGTCAGGTATAGAGTGGAGGAGGGCTGGGGGCTTTGTGGCAGCAGATTGCCGGCCTTGTCCTGCACAGAGCAGCTGGTGGATTCTATGTGGCCTGCCGCTGGGGGGTGGACAAATGGGCAGCGCAGTGCTTACCCGCTGCATCACCTGTATCCCCTTTCCCCAATTTGAACCCCTCTGAACAGGTCCCTGGGTTCAGACCCATGGTGCCTAACTATGAGCCTAGAGGTTGGCAGTTCAAACCTAGCGGTGCCATGGAAGAGAATCTAGGCAATTTGATTGCATAACAGAGACAGTTCAGAAGACCTGGTGGGGCGCCGCGAGTCAGGAGCCATGAGGCGTGGGGTGGAGCATGCTGGGGGAGCGCTGCAGCAGGCCTTGGTGTCCCACTGCAAGTTGCTCATACCCGTCCCCGGTCCTGTCCAGTGGAGACTGTGCTCGGTCTCACCGGAGCCACAACGGGAAGTCTCATCTGCTTCGTGTGCCCTGCCCTCATCTATCGGAAGGTCCACAAGAACGCGCTTTCGGCCCAGGTGGGTGTGCTGGGATAACCGGGGAGGCCAGATCAACACAGAAGGTATTTGCTCTGGTGGGTCTGGGACATGAGTTCAGCAGTCTTTGCGGTGCAGGGCCACGCAGAGCGCATTGGGAATCAGAGGGAGCTGGTGGGCAGTGGTGCCCTCACACGATACCGTCTGTACACATTTTGGCCAGCTTATCTGCAGACACGCTATAAACTAGTGCTCTTTCGCCCTCTGCTGAGACCAGCGCTGCCAGGCCAAGAGCCCTACCGCGGTGTGTACAGGTGTGCACGCCACATGTACCCTCCTTTTACCGTAACTCTGCTTTCGAACTTGTACTGACTGAAACCCACCAGCCGCTCTCAGGGAGAAAGATGTGCTTGTCTGCGTCTGTGAAGATGGCACCCTTGGGATCCCTGGCGGGCACTTGTACCATGGCCTGTAAGGGTGGCCGTGATTCGGAATTGACTCGTGAGTGTATTTGGGGGCTGTTTGCTTGGAGGGCAGGCAATGTGATTCTCTAGTGCTGGACAGAGTTTATTTGGGGGGTGTACGTGTGTGTGGCCTTGGGTGGTGGATCAGCACTGGACTGCTAGCCTCAAGGTCGGTGGTTCAAACCCACCAGCCGCTCCTTGGAAACCATATGTTGTTACTGTTATCAAGTGCCAGCGAATCGGGTCTGACTCAAAGCAACCCTGTATAGGGTTTCCAAGGAGTAGCTGGTGAGTGGGAACCACTGACCTTGTGGTTCAATCTGACCTTGAGATCCGGTGTTTATCCCACAACACACACCAGGACTACTGCTGACCCTAGACAGGGTCATTGAGATTTGGAGCCGACTCGACAGCATTCAGCAGAACCTAGACTTTGGTTTCACATCACAAACGGGACCGCGAGTGAGGAATTTATGGTTTAGTAAAAGAACAAATTGTCCTTCTCTGCCCTGGCCTTTTCCCAGTCTCCAGTTGACTCCTTGTTAGAAGTAAGCTGGTGGCTGGAAGTGTGACCCTGTCAGTGTGTTTTCCTGCTTCCTCAGGTCAGAGACACGGAGCCCCGAGCTCAGTCACGCATGTGTTCTTTAAACATCAGCACAGTTTCCTGCCTGTTGAGCTCAAACCCGGGGCAGATTGTCCCACGTCCCGGGCTCCTTGTCTGTAGGACAGTCCGTCCTCGGAAGTTGTCATCTTGGGCTCTGACTGTAAAAGGCCCCTAGAACCGGGACATCTGTCGAGGAGTGTGAGGGCACAACTTGGGTGGAGTTCGTCAAGTGCCCCTTAGCATCCACTGCAGAGGCCAGTCTGAGGGGAAGGCTTGGCTTTCGTGGAGTTAAGCTGAGCGTCTTCGTAAGTTGAAAAGCGATTCGCTTGTTTTCTGAGGCCTGTTCCAATTTCTGCTGCTTTCCATGCGGTGGTTGGAGTTTCTCCAGTAGTGGACCTCATCTTCCTCATGTGTGTACAGTCCACTCAGGAAACTACCATCCAGGGCAAGACAGAGCCTCACCAGCACCCTAAACCACCCCGGGCGCCCACAGAGCTTCCTACTCCTCTACTGTCCAGCATTAAGAATCACGTTGCCTGCCCTCCGAGCTGCCACGTGTGGTGTACCTTATTACCCAGCACTGCGCGTGCCCTCACACTGCAAGGCCCACTGGCCCGTGTGTGCTCGTGGATGCCTAGCTGGTCATCCTTCAGTGGTGGACCAGAGGGTGTCCAGTTTGGGATCCCACATACCGCTGCCCTGCACATTGCCTAGGATGCATGTGTGCACTTGTCTTGGCTCTGTCCAGAGGAGAGGGAATGTTGAGTCCTGGGTAGTGGCAAACTTCCGACCCACCAGGCACCCACCATGGGAAGAGGATGAGGCTGTCTGCCCCGGGAAAGCTTTACAGCCTTAGAAACCCTGTGTTACCATGAGTCAGAACCAACTCCATGGCAGTGGGCTTGGATTTGGGGTGTGGGTGCTATGACGATTCTGTGTTGGGAGATTCTGCCAGTTTCCCGGAGTGGCTTGTCCTCAGCGCCCACTTGCTCTTGACCTCCATGTGTCGATCGCAGCCTTTCCAGTTGGTGGGACGAAGAGCCTGGTGCCTGGTTTGGGGTTTAATTTGCGATTCCCAGATGACTGGCGCTGCTCGTTTTTTTCGTGCACTCATCAGCCGTGTGGGCGGCTCCTATGGTGACCACCTTCTCTGGCGGGCTGTCTGGTGCTGGTTGGTATGGGGGGGGCTTGTGAGGAGCCTCTAGGTCTGAGCCTTTTCACAGGTGCTTGTCCTCCCTCTCACCTGCTTCCTCCCGTGGTGACATGTTTTCATGAGCATAAGTTCTAACTCTTTGTTCTTTTCTTCTGCTTGGTGCGTTTCCTGTCCTATAAAACAAATTCCTGCTTACCATGAGGTCCGGGGGTCTGGCGTGAGCTGTAGCTGGACTGGACTGCTAACCACAAGGTCAGCAATTCAAACCCACTGCTGTGCCTCAGAAACCCTCTACATGGTTGCTATGAATCAGAACTGACTAGACGGCATTTACCAGCACCATCTATTAATATTGGGGTCCTGGTATGGTACTGTAGGATCAGCACTGGACTGCTAACCTCAAGGTTGGCAGTTCAAATCCACCAGCCACTTCTGAGAAACCCTATACAGGGTCCACTAGAAGTTGGAACCGACTTAATGGCTCTTTACAACAACAAACAACTATTATTATTGGGGTCCTGGTGTGGCACTGTAGGATCAGCACTGGACTGTTAACCACAAGGTCAGCAGTTCAGACCCACCAGCTGCTCCTTAGAAACCCTATACAGGATCACTATGAGTCGGAACCAACTAAATGGCTCTTAATAACAACAACAAACAACTATTATTATTGGGGTCCTGGGGTGGCACTGTAGGATCAGCACTGGACTGCTAACTGCAAGGTTGGTGGTTCAAACCCAGCAGCCATTCCTCGGAAACCCTGCACAGGGTTGCTATGAGTCGGCACCGACTGGACGGCACCACCACCACCACGGTCGAGGTCCTGAAGGTCGTCATGTGTGCTGGGTTTTACCAGCTTGATCTTTCATGTTGACGCCTGTGCCCCTGGAGCTGTCTGCTCTGTGTGAGGATCTGGTGGGTCCAGCACCTTATTCCTTGTCCCTCTGTGTCAGCACGGTTGTACAGCTCTAGCTGTGTGTGCGCGCGCGTACTGGGGGTGGCGGTGAGGCACGTCGGGTAGGTTCTGACTCACAGTGGCCTGCGTCCTCCTCACAGCTGTTAGAGTGTTTAAACCCACTGTTGCAGGCACTGTGTCCAACCCCACTTTGAATGCCTCCCAGGCCGAGGGGCTCATTCCCTGGCAGCTTTCAGGGGCTAAGTATTCAGAACTAGTCCGTCTGAGTCTGGGAGCACTGCTGGAATTTGTCCACCTTGGTGTCTAGACTCCTGGGCACAGTGTCCAGCTGCACAGCAGTGCCTCAGGAAGACAGATGGAAAGACAAGTGCTGACTGATGTTGGGGACCCTTGATGCCATCTCTGTGTCCCCCTTTTAAATTGCTTTCAGATCAGTCTTGGTGTTGGGTAGCACAAGTCTTCCAACTTCGTTCTCCTTCAAGATGGTCTGTCCTCTCATTGGCCCTTTTGCATTCCAACTAGGTTGTAGAATGAGCCGTCTTCCTCCAGAATGGCCTGCTGGGCGCCTGACTGGCAGGCATTGCAGCGGACTCTGGATGGAAGAATTGGCGTGGTCGTTCGAGTCACAGCGGTTCCTGATTTCCACGGTGACCCACGGGCTCTTAGCTTGATTACCAAACATTTGGGGATTTCCTCAGAATCGTTTTACTTGTTTTGAGCTGAATTACGCTGCGGTTTGGGAACACACACTGTAGGTTTTCAGTATCTGAGACTAGTTCTGTGGGCCCGTGTTTTGTTAATTCCGACGGCTGGCCACGGGCTGTGTGGTCTGTAGTTGTTGAACGCAGTGACATCAGGATGTTGAGTTTGTTAATTGTGGTTTTCAGGGTGTTTATATTTCCGCTGATTTTCCTTTCTACGTGTTTGTTTAGCAGTAAGGAGGAAGGTACGCTAACTCACACTGAAATTGTAGATTTGTTTCTTTCAACTTTTCGTCTTAGCAATTTTTGCTTTACATTTGATGTCTGTAAATAGTAGCGTGTATAGATTGAAGATTATTATAGCTTCTTATTGGGTCGATTCTTTCTCTTGTGAACTGCCCCTTTTATCTCCGGAAATGCTTCTTCCCTGTAAGTCGGCCTGGTCTGACACAGTGAAGCAAACTCAGTGTTGGCGTTTGACAGTTTAGCTGTTTTCATCCTTTTTAATTGGTTCTTTCGATGTTCTTATATGTAAGCATATCTCTTGTGAGTACGATCTCATTGGGTTTTATTTCATTTTGCTTTTATCCAGTCTGTTAACAGGAATAGCTGACACTGTTTGTTTTAGGCACTGTGACTCGGTAGAATAAACACTGGACTGCTAACCACAAGATTGGCAGTTCGATTCCCCAGAAGAAAGAGGAAACTTTCTGGCCCCATAAAGGTTTATAAACTAGGAAACCCAATACAGGGCTGTCTTGTGCTAAGTTAGACCCAACTCCACCGCACTTAAAATCCATGATGAATCTGGGGTCCCTCGGTAGCACAACAGGTAAGCGCTCGACTACTAACCAGAGAGGTTACTGGTTCGAGTCCGCCTAGACGTGCCTCAGCAGACACACCAGCTGTCAGAAACCCCGTGGAGCAGAGTCCTACCCTGATGAGAACCAGGCTTGTCAGGAGCCACAGCTGATGCCCTGGCACCTGTGGTCAGCTCTCTGAGGAGCGAAGCTTGGCACATTGTCACAGAGGAGCGCACCTGTGCCCGCTCCTTTCCGTCTGTCTTGTACTGCGGGCACCTTATCTGTCCTGCGGCTTTGGGCTCCATGTGTAGAGATGAATGTGTATGTTCCCACACCTGCGTGTGCACGGATGTAAACACACACAGTCATGTAAAACAAACACCCGCCTGTGCAAGTCTTCCGTGGCCGGCTCTTGCTCAGGTGGGGGAGGGGCCTCAGTGCCCCCTGGTCTCTGTGCCGCATGGGGATGGACATGTTGGGCCGTGAGTGCCTACATCTCATTACTGTGGTCATTTGAAGTTGCTGCACTGATTTGGGCTCAGGGTGATGCCTGAGGTGCATTGAAGTGCTGCTTCACCAGGCTTTCAAGGCCTTTCCACAGAAGATTGCCACACCTTTTTTCCTGGGTACCTCTGTGTGGTTTGAGCGGGTAACCTTTCGGTTAGTGGCCAGTCTCAACTGTTGGACCCCCAGGGACTCTGCATTGTATTTGCACATGGAATTCAGAGGAGCGCTCTGGGCAGTATGGCTGCAGTTGGCGAGTCCTCGGTGTCACCCGTCCTGCGTTGGGCCAGGTCAGGCATCGGCTCACTGTGGCCCTTGGAGCAACCTTCAGCAGTGCAGGCCTGCTCCATCCCAGGGGCCCCGAGAGGAGCCTTGGGGCAGGAGCAGGCCTGAAGGATATGTCCAGGGGCCTGCAGCAGAGCATTCTGGGACGCTGTGAAGACAGCTTCCTGTGGTGAGCAGAAAAGAAGTATAGGCACACAGTGACAAGTGGGAGACATGCCCCCTGAGACAGTGGCACCCAGGAAACGGGCCCCTGTCAGTGCAGGACGGGTACTGCTGTGGGTGGAGCCGTGTCCCCCAAGAAGACACGTTGACGTCCTGATCCTATTCTGTGACCGTTCATTTCAGTCCTCGTCCTTTCAGAGTGGTCACAGAGACAGAGCCCCACGGATTGGCAGATGCCATGTGATGCTGGGGGTGGGGGGTGAGGGTGGGAGGAGGGCAGAAACGGCTAGAGGCTTTCTGCTGTGTGTTCGTACATGGGACACCCAAACACGTTGTCTGTCACACACATGTCCTGGAACAGCCTCGAGATTCAAGAAGGGAACTGAGCACCTGTCCCTGGAGGCTTTGACCTGTTCTTGAGTCTGGGCCCCTTCCAAGTCTGGAAGCTGTGACACACTCCAATTCTGAGTGCTGCCATGTGTGTCCCCAGCCCACGTTCATGGTTTTGTCGAGCTTAGGTCAACACACCCAGGTACACCTGTGCTTCCCTCCTTCTGCCCTTCAGCCAGTGCAGCATCTACTGCCTGCGTTAGGTCAGAGGTGCTCCGGGGCCAGGTGCAGGGCCTGAGCTGAGACAGCAGGTGTCGGCTGGTACCTGCCTCCAGCCCCTGCGGCCGGCTCCACACCCCGGCCAGCTCCCCACTCTGACTGATGCTAGGCCCCCTCCCAGGAGTAGCGTCCCCCTTACCCCTCAGGACCTGGAAGGAATGGACGTGCCCCCTGCAAAGCCTGAGCGGCCTTGGAAACATGGCCCAACCTGCCTTCTCTTAGTGCTTGTGGCCTGACTTGTGGCCAACCCCACATACAGTGGAGCAAAACACTGCCCAGTCTTACAGCAGCCCCATGATGCCCTGTGAATTGGCCCAGGCTGAGCTGTAGGGGTTTCAATAGCATATTTTAACATGTGGCTCGCCAGGCCTTTCTTCCTGTTTCCTCTTAGTCTGGAAACGCCTCTGAAACCCATTCGGCACCCTAGCACACGCGAACATGCGAGCCTCCTTGGAATGAGATGCATTAGCCAGGAGTCAAACCTGGGTACCCCTCGTAGAAGGCGAGGATTCACTACTGAGCCCTCCCTGCCCCAGAAGCTTCCAGAACGTGCTGGTGTGCCTGGGCCAGGACCTTGGACACTTGGGTGACTGCAGGTGTGGCCCAGCTGGCTCCGTGCTGTCTGGGCCCCGAGTCCTGTCTCTGTTGCTCAGGGGTACAGGTGCAGATGTCTGGGCACCTGGGCCTACAGGTTGCACGGGGTCCCCTCTGTCCCCTCTGAGTGTATTTTGTGTGGTTTCCAGGAGGAAGCCCGGGGTTCACAGGAACCAGCTCAGAACTGGGACAGCCAGTGGCTGGGGGGTGTGGTCAGGGATGGCTTCTGAAAGCTTTTCCTCTTGAGCCGATCCTTCCAGCCAGGGGGCCTAGAACTGCACGTGGAAGGGCTGCTGGGAGCACGGGGTTTCAGGGATGGGCCCCTACTTTCTATCATCCGAGATTCTAGTTCTCTCGCCTTGTGGTCTTGGCAGCAGGGAGCTTGTACCTGGCTTTATAGGACACTTGGCGTGTGCCCAGGTCCTGTGGCTGCACCCCTGGGTGCTATGCCTGTGAGCCCCATGGCCCCCTGCTATGGCCATGCTCCTGGGTGCTATCTCCGTGGCTCCTCCTGGCTGCAGCTACACCCCTGGGTGCCATCCAGTGGCCCCCCCCCATACCCAGTGGTACCCCATGGCTCCCTCAGAAAGGAAAGCTAAGGCCTTTCTCTCTTCCCCTGCTGCTCCCCCCCCCCCATTTGATTCCCCCCAGCTGGGGGCTGCCTGACCCCTGACTTCTGCTCCAGGTGGTGCTCTGGGTCGGCCTGGGTATCCTGGTCATCAGCACATACACCACCCTGACTGTGCGTGAGGAGGTCCCTGTGGACTTCACTGAGGAGGCCCCTGTTGGCCGGCTGGTGGAGGCTGAGATCGGCAAGAAGGCTGAAGCTGTGAGGCTGTCAGGTGTGTGGTCAGGGCCTCACCCCATGCGTGGAGGGGGGCTCTCAGCAGCTTGGCTCTGGGGGCACTTGGGGTACAAGTTGCTTTCCTAATGCGGCTGTGGGTGGAGACCATCCCAGTGACCAAGCTGGGGAGCTGCCAGTCAACAGCTGTGTCCATGTGGCTCTGGGGGCCTGGCTTCAATAGGACTGCCCACCACCGCTGCTGCCACAGGACTTGGGTCCCAGTGCCCGCGGTGCTGTGGGTTTGGCCTCTGCACAGTGACTGTGTACCGAGTGCTCGTCCCCCACATCACCCACTGCTTCGGTCATGTCCCCTAAGGCTGCTGTATGCACCTGTCACCCAGGCGGCCTGGGGTGGGCTGCTGGCTGGATGTGTATCTGAGTGGTTGATGCTGGTGGGGTGCTCTTTGGGGTTGTGCACGCTGATGTAGATCAGGACGGGGGCTGAGGGAGGTCCCTGTGGGTGGCCCACCTTGGACAATGGATGGGTCGTGGGTCAAAGCTCAGAGCTACTGTAGGCCTGTGCAGGGGGCAGGACAGTGCTGGCGGGCCCCTGCTTGCCCATGCCTGAGCTCCATCTGCTAGAAAAGTCCTAGTGGGTGGGGATGGGTGGGTCTCAGGGAGCCCTGTAGCATGTGGAGCCCTCTGCTGGCTGGTGGCCGCCTCCTAAGAGAAGAAATTCAAAAACCAAGTTGTCCTCCCTTCTCAGGGCTGAGGCTGAGTGCTCACTCCAGAACGTTCCACAGGCCCCCATCGGTGCAGGCTGCCACTGGACGTCCTGCTCTGGGCCTGCTCCCCTGACCACCCCATTTCTAGTACCACTGTCTCCAGCTGGTGCCCAGAGGCTGCCAGGGCCCGGGGTGGAGGTACTTGTCACCCGGTCCTTCTGTCTCCTCTACCGTAGAAAGGAGGGGGAGGTCCCAGTAGCCTTAACAGCCATTCTGTTGCCGTCACTCTGCTCCCCCAGGCCCCCTGGGTGCTGGGTGAGGGAGTCAGGGTTGTGCCCCCCACCTCCAGCCTGTGCTGCTTGGGGCACCAGGGAGGGGAGGGCTCTGCGTGGCCAACTTCACTGTCTTCTGCTTGTCTCACTTTGATGTTAATTTTCACCACCTGAGGTAAGGAGTTGGCAGGACCGCAGATTAACATCTCTACTGTCATCTTCTCAAGGGGCGCTGTCCCCCCTCTCCCATACAACCACACGCACACGCAGCCTGGGAGCAGGCGGGGATTTGGCAGGGGGTCACCCTGTAATGAAGGCACACAGTCACATGAAGGTTTGCCCTCAGCTCATTAGAAAGGCCTGGTCCGTGACACACTCAGAACTGGATCGTGCTGCCACCTGGTGGGAAGGGTCTGCAATGACACGGGCTGTGCATCGCCTGTACTGGCTTAGGTGTAAATTGCATTTTGGCATATTTTTATGAAGAAACGTGAAAAATAACCATTTTCTGTGTGCTTAGAGAAACAATGAGTGTCGGGGAAGGAACGGTCAGGTCCCTCCTGGTGTTTTTTGGGGAGGGGAGCTGTGCAGAAGCCCATTCAACCCACTGCGTATTCTTCCAGTCCAGAACCCGGTGGTGGAGGTCGCCGAGGATGCCCGTGACAAGCCGAAGCTGCCCGACACCAAGGAAGAGGCGGAACAGGCCCAGATCAAGGGCCCCATGGAGGTACCTCCGAGGGGAGAGGCCAAGGAGAAGGTGGAAGAGGCGCAGCTCGACCGCCCTGGCCAAGGTGGGTGCAGGTGTGCGGCCCAGGCACTCTGTCGGGGTTCTCTGGTCCTTTCGACCTGCTTCCCCTTTGCTTTGATCCCTGTCCCCTGGCTCACAGCTGCTCCTCTCTGGTTTTCTAGTAACAACATCTGTCATTGCCGAATAGCTTTCTGGCCTGCGTCCCCATGGGAGGAAGGATGTCCCTAGGGTGCCTCATTGTCCTTCTAGGCCAAGATTCCGCACTGAAGGGACACTACATTGGTGATGTTTGAACAATGCGTTGAGTCTAATTCATGTCACTGAGTGCCAGCCGTCAGTTGGTTCTGACTCATAGGAACTTTATGCAGAACAAAGCTCTGCCCCATCCTGTGCCACCCTCACAAATGCTTGAACCCAATGCTGCTGCCACTGTGCCAATCTATCTCGTTGGGGGTCTTCCTCATATTCCCCGATCCCACCACTTTATCAAGCATGATGTCCTCCTCCAAGGACTGCTCCCTCCTGATAATGCGTCTGAAGTATGGAAGAGGAAGTGTGGCCTTCTTGGCTTCTAAGGAGCATTCTGGCTGCACTTCTAACACAGACTGGTTTGTTCTTCTGGCAAGTCTTTGGTACCTTTAATATTCTCCCCCAACACCATAACTCAAATGCATCAGGTTTTCTACAGTCTTCCTTATTCACTGTCCAACTTTCACATGCATATGAGGTTACTGAAAGTATCATGCCTCTTGGATCAGGCACACCTTAGGCCTCAAACTGACATCTTTAAACACTTTAAAGAGGTCTTGTGCAACAGAGTTGCCTAATGCTGTACGTCATTTGATGTCTTGACTGCTGCTTCCATGAGTGTTTATGGCAGATCCAAGCAAAATGAAGTCTCTGACAACTTCAATCGTTTCTCCACTTATAATGATGATTTTATTGGTCCAGTGGTGAGGATTTTTGTTTTCTTTACATTGAGGTGTAACCCATATTGAAGGCTGTGGTCTTTGATCTTCATCAGTATTTTAACTCCTCTTTGCTTTCAACAAGCAAGGTTGTATCATCTGCATATCGCAGGTTGTTAATGAGTCTTCCTTCAATCCTGATGTCACATTCTTCTTCATATAATCCAGCTTCTCAGATTATTTGCTCAGCATACAGATTGAATGAGTATGTACAGATTGAGTAAATATGGTGAAAGAATACAACCCTGGTGCATATCTTTCCAGATTTTAAACCATTCAGTGTCCCCTTACTCTATATAAACTATGTACAGGTTCCTCAGGAGGACAATGAAGTGGTCCGGAATACTCATCCTCTGCAGTGTTGTCTGTAGCGTGTCATGATCCACACAGTCAAAAGCCTTTGTATAGTCAATAAAGCACACGTAAACATCTTTCGGGTATTCTCTGCTTTCAGTCGAGATTCATCTGATGTTGGCAGTGATATCCCTCATTCCACATCTTCATCTGAATGCAGCTGAATCTCTTAAAGTTCCCTGTCATTGTATGGTTGTGGTAGTTTTTGTATTATGTTTATCAAAATTTTACTTGCATGTGATATTAATGATACTGTGTGATGATCTCTGTATTCCATTGGGTCACCTGTCTTTAGAATGAGCACAGATATGAATCTCTCCCAATCAGTTGGCCAGGTAGCTGTCTTCCAAATTTCTTGCCATAGATGAGTGAGTGTCTCCTGTGCTTCATCAGTTTGTTCAAAGATTTCAAACTCCGTAAGTTCCCGGAGCCTTGTTCTTTGCCGATGCCTTGAATTTTTTCCCTCAATTCCCTCAGCTAGAGAAATACTGAGTTTATTGGTTCCTTTTGGTGTTCTAACTCCAAGTCTTTACGTACTTCATTGTGACATTTGACTTAGCTCCCTGAGCTGCCCTTGGAAGTTTTCTATTCAGCTCTTTCACCTTCTCATTCCTTCCATTTGTTTTAGCTTATCTATGCTGGAGAGTAAGTTTCAGAGTCTCTTCTGACATTCATTTTGGCTTTTTCCTTCTTTCTTCTTAATGATCTTTCGGTTTCTTTTTGTATGAGGTTCTTGATGTCATCCCACAACTTTTCTGGTCTTTGATCACTAGTGTCTACATCATCAAATCTGTTCTTGAGATGACCTCTAAATTCAGGTGCGACATGCTCAAGGTCATATTTTGGCTCTCATGAACTTATTTTCATTTTGTTTCAGCCTGAACTTCTATATGAGAAGTTGATGGTTTGTTCCACAGTTTGCCCCTGGCCTTGTTTTGGCTGATAAGATGGGGCTTTTCCACTGTATCTTTTTACAGATGTAATCAATTTGATTTCTGTGTTTTCCGTCTGGTGAGGTCCATGTGTATAGTTGTCTTTTATGTTGTTTAAATAAAGTGTTTGCAGTGAAGTCATTACTGGTCTTGCAAAATTCCAATCTGATCTCCAGCATCGTTTCTATCACCTGACTACTGATCCTTCCTCTTTGTCTCTAACCTCTGCATCCCAGTCATCAGTAGTCATCAGGACATCTTTATTACACATGTGATCAATTTCAGACTGAAGAAGTTGGTAGAATTCTTCCGTTTGACTGGCTTTACTGTGGCGCGTAATTTCGAATAATCGTGGTATAAACCAGTCTTCCTTGTAGGCATATGGCTATCATCCTATCACAGACATCCGATACGTCATGACAGATCTTGATGTGTTCTTTTTGATGATGACTGTGGCGTAATTCCTCTTTCATTTGTCATTCCTGATGTCGTAAACCACGTGATTGTCAAATTCAGAATAGCCAATGCCAGTCTGTCTCAGGTCACTAATGCCGACCCCCTAGATCTTTAGATTTCCAGTTCATTTTTGACTACTGCCAATTTTCCTACATTCATACTAAGTACGTTCCGAGTTCCAGTTACTGATGGGTGCTTGTAGCTGTTTCTCGCCCTTTGACTTGGGCGTCATCAGTAAATAAGATCTCTTTGGCTTTACTCCATTTACGTCATCACGGTCAACAGCTCTTGCAGTGACATTCTGAGGGGCTTGTCGTCTGACACTCTGACAGCGACCTAATATCTTCCTCATGTTTCAGTAGTTAGCAGTCTAGTGCTGACAGTGTTCCCCGGCTAGTCACAAGGTTCCCAGTGACAATATTCAGACACAGTTCGTCTCTCCTTCTTCCTAGTCTGTCTTCGTCTGGAAGCTCAGCTGAAACCTGTCCACCTGGGTGACCCTGCTGGGATTTACAATACCCGATGGTATAGCAACACACAGGCCACCACAACACGACACTGTGACAGACAAGAGACAGGTACGTGTGTAGGTGGTAAGATTACTTCTTGTCATTTCAGGAGTTGCTGTGCCCTTAGGGGAGGCCCACCGTCACGAGCCCCCCATCCCACACGACAAGGTGGTGGTCGACGAGGGCCAAGATGGGGAAGGGCCAGAGGAAAGCAACCGTGAGTCCAAACAAGCAGTTGGGGAAGCTCCTGGAGGCCAGGAACCGGGGGTGCGTCCCCCTCCTGACGCGGGGAGATGGGAGCCTGCGCCAGGGGCCGCCCTGCAGGAAGTGGCCGGTCCTCCAGAGGAGCTCAAGAAGGTTCCAGAGGCCCATGGGCAGCCACCTGTGCGTCCTGCCAGTGAGGAGCTGACCGGGCCCCGGGCAGTACATGCGGAGGACCAGAAGGCAGCGGCGGCAGGGCATGAGAAGGCAGGCCACATCCCGCCGGACCCCGCCGCCCAGGAGCCAGGGAAGCCAGCGGTAGAGCAGAACTTGCCAGGTGGGTGTGAGCCCAGCCCTGCCTTGTCAGATAGCTCCTCTGGAGCTCAGCAGTGGAGCGAGCCCCAGTTGCAGCTGTTGGGGACAGTCCAGCGTTTGTCAGGCAGCTGTGTGCTGGGTCACTAAGTGCCGGCCACAGTGCCAGGGAGCAGAGCTCCTTAGCACCCGCAGGCTGCCCTAGGCTGTGAGATGGTCATGTCCTTTGTTGGCTCCCCGAAATCAGCAGCTTTCGTCTCGTGTCTGTGCCCTCAGGTGGGAAGGCAGCCCTCCTGGTGCAGAGGCCCGAGCCTCCAGCAGGGCTGCCGGCTGAGCCACGTGAGCAGAGGCACGTGCAGAGCCCACCCGAGGACAACGGGGGCAGCAAGCTCGAGGGTGAGGCTGGGGGCTGTTCACAGCCTGGGGAGGGTCGGAGCAGATTCTCCCGAGGTCACCTCTGTGGAGAGTCTGATTGCCCCAACCTAGGTCACCTGGGGAGGGGCTGAGCCACCCCCAGATCACTCCCAGGAGGGTCTGTCTGGCAACCAGGTCACCCCAGGGAGGTTCTGAGCACCCCCAGTTTATCCCAGGGAGGGTCTCAGTGCCCCCCGGTCACCCCAGGGAGGATTTGAGCACCCCCAGGTCACCCCAGAGAGGGTCTGAGTGCCCCTGATCACCCGGGGGAGGGTCTGAGCACCCCCAGGTCACCCCAGGGAGGGTCTGAGTGCACCTGATCACCCCGGGGAGGGTCTGAGCACCCCCAGGTCACCCCGGAGAGGGTCTGAGTGCCCCTGATCACCCCAGGGAGGGTCTGAGTGCCCCCAGGTCACCCCGGGGAGGGTCTGAGCACCCCCAAGTCACCTCGGGGAGGGTCTGAGCACCCCCAGGTCACCCCGGGGAGGGTCTGGATTCCCCTGGCTTTGCTCTGTGGGGGGTTTCTCCTGAGGGAAGCACTTTCAGTAGCTCCTCTTTTCCACTGTGGCTCCCTTGCCATCACCTCCCTCAGAACACTCTGCCTTCCCTATCAGAACCGTTAGCTGTTGTCGCACGGCTCGTCCTAAAGCAGATGTGCTAATATTGCTGACTCGCCCGTTATTTACAGCTTCTGGGTGTCAGGGGGGCTTATTTTAGGGACTTGCCTTCTCTGATGATCCAGCTCTGGTCTTGTAGCCCCCACAGTGGCCCCACCCAGTGGGAAAGCTGTGTGTGGTCACCTGTCCCCAAACACCACCCATCACCTTTTCACTCAAGGTAGAAAAGTCACCCCACACATCTGTTTGGGTTCCTCTCTAGCCCTGTGGTTGTCATGACCTCGCCCAGACAGATTAGACTCCTCTGGGAGGTGGTCACAGCCCTTGCCTGGCCCACAGGATCGCACAGCTGGATGGGGTTCCAGAATGTTCTTCTTCCCAGGACCCTCAGCTTCATTTGACCTGACTGAAGAGGGCCTTTTGTGTGTGGCTTGACATTGCAGCTTGTCCCCTCTGGGGACATGGGTCTAGGTGGCAGGGTCTCTCTGCCCATGCCTGTTGGCAGCAGGTTCATGGTGGCTGGGCTTCCAAACTTCCCTGTGGGCCAATCCCATGGGACTTGGCACTGCCCTTCCCCAGGTCTGTAAGACTAAGCTTCCTCTCTCCATGGCCTCAGGACAGCAGTCCCCCCCACACACACTCTTACTCATGGGGCTGCTGCTGCAGCCCCAGCCTCCCCTCCACACCAGGACTTCAAACCTTTCTAACTGGTATGGTCATTCCAGCAGCAAAATGGAAACAGACCCAGGTTTGTGAAATGTGAGGGTCTCAGAACAGGAAACATTCCAGGTTGATGGCCTTCCGAAGCCTCGAGGGGGTGGGAAGACTGGATTATTTGTGGGTCTGTAGAGAGCCACGTTGATTCAGCACAACGCAGTCGACACACACTGCTGTTTCTGACTATGTTATCCAAGAACTGTGGTTAGTATGTAATGTGCACACGGCCTTGGGTTTCTAGGAGGAAGAGTTCAGAGTCTGCGGGGCATTGACCTGCCATTTTCCTGTTCTAGCAAACATTCTGGACACCCACATTTGATAAATTCAGGTCTCTCCCAGTTTTGCTTTATCAGCCATGACTGACTGCCCCCAGACGCCTCGCCCTCGTGTGTCTGTGGGGCAGGCTGGCATTTGACTCTGGTTGCATCTATCGGCTCCAGCCCATCGACTCTGTTGCCTAAACCTGTTTGATTCTTTGACTTTCTCTCTCTTTGAAAAGAGCCCTTTCCTGTTTCCTAATTTGCCTTTCTTCTCTCTGCCTTTCCATGGGACTTCACAGCAGAAATTAAAAAGATAGTGGCAGGTACGCCTGGAGGATGGCATCAGGGTAAAAGGCGGGTTGGTGGAGGGTCAGAATGTGTGGGAACAGCAGAGACCAAGGTGCCCTGGAGCCCCAACACATCCTCCTCTTTGGACCTGACCTAGCTCTCAATGCCAACTAGGCTGCATACGTGTCATGAAGACAGTGGGCGGGGTCTGAGTCCTGGTGGGCTTTAGCACCATCTGCTGGTCAGTACCTGCCCCTGCCAAGTACATGGTCCTGAGGGTCCTGCAGGCATGTGGTGGATTCCTGCCCCCACCTCCAGGTCTAGGAGGCAGGGGGTGGGCAGCAGCATGGGCATCTCACCCCAGCACTTCATTCTCTGTTTGTGGTAGCACCCTCACCCCCAACTGAGGGCTTATCCCTGCTACCGGATGTTCCTCACCATGCTGTCTGCTGGGCATGACTCCAGTGAGGGCCTCCCAGCCTCCGCTGTGACAGGCCACCATCATCATAGAAGGCTGGGCTCACAGGAGTGCCCCCCCCCCCCCCGTGGCAAGACGGTGGTCATCTTGACACCTGACGGCCCAAACCCACCACCCAAGAAATGTCTCGATTTCGAACATGGAAGCAGCTTTTTATGTTGAGATCTTCTGCGGGCTGATGGCCAAGTCCGCTCCGAGCTGCTTAGGGAGACGGGGGCTAGCACCCTGCTCTTCTGGCTCCTGGCAGAACTGACGGCCGACACCTTCCCGTGGGAGGCAGCGCCTGTTACCAGCAGCACCCTCCGCCCCCGCCCCCCGGGGCTGTGCCCTACTTAAACCGCAGGGGCGCCGCCCGGTTTAGCATCCTCACTTTGAGGGACGTCCTTGCTTAAGAGGTATAGCATAAACAAGCTTGTCAACTAGGCGCCCGGCCAAGCCCCAAGCCCGGTGAGCTGGCCCCGCCCCCTGACCGCCTGCTCCCGCCCCCAGACGCTGGCCGGGTGGAGCTGCTGGACCACGCGGTGCTGCTGCAGGTCATTCAGGAGCAGCAAGCGCAGCAGAAGCGGCTGTTGGAGCAGCAGGAGAAGCTGTTGGCGGTGTTGGAGGAGCAGCACAAGGAAATCCACCAGCAGCGGCAGGACGAGGACGACGAGCGGCCCCAACCCGGTGGGCACCCGCTGCCGACGGGGCGAGGTGGCTGGGATGAGCCCCCCTGCACCCGCCCGTGCTCATGGTCATGCACCCTTCCCTCTGCAGTGGACACGCAGGCCGAGCCGGGACCGGCGGCGCCCCCTGGGGAGCTGGGCCAGGACCTACCAGCGCAACCCGTGGAACCTGCGCCTGGAGACCTCGCAGCAGCCCCCCAAGAACGCGAGGAGCCTCCGGAGGCCGAGAACAGAGGCGCAGGCGGCCCACCTGTTGGTGCGGACACGGAGCCCCGGGCAGCCCTGGCCCAGGCTAGGGAGGTGCAGGCCGCAGTGCAGGGCCCCGCGGGATCACCCGCGCCCCCAGGGGAGGGTCGGGGACCTCTCGGACGAGACTCTCAACAAGGGAAGAAGCCCGGGAAGGAGGTCGCTGCGCCGGGGGCGGGGGCGGAGGTAGGGCAGGTGAGTCGAGACCTAGGCCCTGCGGTGGACACGGCTCCCCAGTCCAAGGGAGGAGTGGCCCCGCGGGCTCCCGACGCATCCGAACGCCTCCGCGCCGCCTCTGACAGGGCTCGAGGTCAGCCGCTGGGCCAGGCCCATCAGCCGGAGGCTGGGAGGGAGGCGCTGGGAGGGGAAGCCGTGGGTCGAGTCGTCGCCCCAGAGCCCGGGCCCAAAGTGGCCGCCCCAGATGCCCCAAAGTTGGACAACGCTAAGCCCAATCGTGACCTGAAGGTGCAAGCCGGCTCTGACCTGCGGCGGCGTCGCCGGGACCTTGACCCAGACCCCGACCTGGGGCAGGCCGGTGTCTTCCTCAGTCCCCACCCCCTACTGGCGCTGGGGGTTGATGGCCTGCGCAGTGCCCTGGAGGCCCAGCTGCACAATGTGGCACAGGGGGCCGTGCAGGTGGTGCACAGCCGGCAGGTGAAGCAGGTGGCAGAGGAGGCCTGAATGGTCAGCTCACTCCCTGCCCTTCCGGGACCCAGACTCCCATCTGTCTGTTGGCGGTGATGAAAAGATGCCAGCAACGCTCCCACTGTACACTGGGTCCTGTGGACCCGAGGACACCCCCGTCTGAGCCTCACTAAGGACCTGCCTGGTTAGGACTTGGGGTGTCACAGATTCCCACACATCTTCCAGCTCCTGCCCTCACTGACCCTGGGCCCACCAGGCCGTCTTGAATCAACTGACCATGCCACAAATCACATTCCTCTGGAGTCCCATGGTGGATCTGGTGTTCTCTGAGCAGTGAAGACTTTCTCCAAAAAACAGTACCCACCGCTGCCACTGTGGACCAGGTGCCCAGTCCACTCAACTCTTAACATGCATTTCCCAAACTATCTTGGCTTTATTTTTAACGAATAAAACTTTCTGACAGCGGATGTGGAGGTGAATTTCTGCTGGCATGAAAACAGTGATTGGTAGAGACCACTGTCAATCAACTCAGGAACCCCTGGGCTAGCACTGAGGGAGGGGGAGCAGGCGAATGTGCTGTGGGTTCTTGACCACACCCCTGGACAGTCACTGGGCACAGGGAGCAGAGATGCAGAGATGCTGGAGGTTCTCACACACACCCTCTAGGAGATGCGCCCAGTGGTGGTTGTGTCCAGAGCGTAGCTGGACGCCTGACTACGTGTGCCCACTCAATTTCTGGAGCCCCCAAACTCTGTGCACTGGTCCCATGTAGACACCCAACACAAGGACTACAAAGATCACCCACAGCCTGGAGGAAGCCTGGAACCTGGTCAGGGTTTAGAGGGTCTCTGCACGGGGGGGGGGGGGGGGGACCAGACTGATCTGGGATGGAAATGAGAAATGGTCCAGTTGAGGATCTTAAACTCAGAGGGTCCCAAGACAGAGTGACCTGGGTACCAAGAAGGGGACTGGGTGACCACTCAAAACCATCTCCAGCATGCCCAGCAGATGGTGCCTAGGATCTTTGGGACCTGGTGGGGAGGCAGTCGCTGTATTGCTGAACCCATTTTTAGTGCATGGACTCAGATGGGGAACTGGAGTGGTCAGGAGCGCCGTCAGTGAAGAAAAGCAGTGAGGGGAACGCCCTACCGCATCCTTCATTATAGCCAATTAGTTGGGAAGCTTGACCCCACATTTTTCTGCATCTAGGAGAGTCTGCTTGATTCTCACGGCACACCAGCTCTCTGGAGATTGTCCCCTCTAGGCCTGCTGTTGTTACGTGCCTACCCATAGCGATACTTCACAATGGAGACCGATTGCAATGGAGACCGATCTGCATTCTCGTTGTGGGCCATTCTCCCAATCCTTGCAGTGATTAAACTTCATTGCGGAACTTTTACATTTTATTACAGGCACATCCTTGCTCCTCTTCCCCGCCCCCTGTACACAAGTTGTCTTTACTGTTTGTTAGTTCAAGTACTTTTGATTCTACTCCAAAGCCCATGTATGGAATGCTGGGAAACCCAGTCCTCTCTGCCAACCTCTCTGGGCTGCGACGCTGCACCTTGAACACATTAAGAACAAGGTCTCCATGCTTCGTTTCGCTTTCTGCCCGTGTGGCCTGTCTGCCAAGGGGGCCATGGGTCGGTCAGCTCAGCAGCTCCGGCGGGCGGGTGCCTTCTAGCAGCCACCCTTCACGGGCTTCTTGGCCTGAAAGCGAAGGTACTTTCTCAGAACAGGTTGTCTGCAGGGTAAATATGGCTCCAAAGCAAGAAAACTCCCACCACAAGGGCCCTGCTTCACCAAACATCCCACGAGGAGCGCTGGCTTGGCTGGACGGGCCGCGCCGGGTCAGTCCTGGTACTGTCTGGACGTCGGAAACACCGGCAGGGGCGCCATCAGGAATGAGAAAGTGAGGGCAGGCCTAGCAGGTCAAGCTCCAGAGCGGGGACTAACGTCTTTCCCACCAAACAGGGCTGCACACCGGGGAGGGGAGCGGAGCGCCGCCCGGCGGGCACCTACCGCAGCCACAAAGCAGCTCCGCAGGGCCTCGAACTCCTGGGCACAGAGATCTTTCTTCAGGCTGCCTCCCGGGGCAGTAGACGCCTGCACGCACCTGCCGTACGCCGCGGCCTGCAGAGAGGACGGGCGCAGGTCTCAGCGGCGCTCGGGGACCGGGACTCGACCCGCCGCCTTCCGCTCCGCACGGCCCACCCTGCCCCGGACTCGCCCGATCGCCCGCTGCTCCCCGCGGCCCTTCCTGTTCCGAAGACGCTGTCCCGCCCTTCCCGTTCCGAAGACGCTGACCTCGGTCCCGCAAGCCGCCAGATGCTCGGGGAAGGCGCGAAGGCGACCTCGCACACGACCCCACACCGTTCCTTGCACCGACATGAGCGGCTTGTCCCGGCCCTCGTGGGCGCCGCCATCTTGAACCCGTCCTCTTCCGGCGCCAGCGACCTCAGAAGCTCTCGCTTCCGCCCTGACCTTCCCCGCGTTCTCTAATTGGACGATTTCGGCCTTCAGAATCTTACAATTGGCTTGTGTAGTTGTCTGTCTCTGTTCTAGGACTTTTGATTGGCTCAAACGCAAATTGTTTATAGACACCACCTCGGTGCCCGCCCCCAGTGCGAGCGATTGGCCGGCGGGACCAGTTCCGTGCGGCGATTGGACCGATTTGGACCTGGCGGAAGCGACCCGTCCTGGAGGTAGCCTACATCATGGCTGCGACGCCGCCCCTGCGGGACCGATTGAGCTTTCTGCACCGGGTGAGTGAGCGTCCGCCGGCTGGCTAGTCCCCGCAGCCACCGCCGCCGCCTCTGGCCTCGGGCACAACCCCGGACCGCCGCCGAGCGCAGCCACTGCCCTCCTCTTGGCGCGGCCCACGACCTCCTGGTCCTCCCAGTGTCTGGTGCTCGGTATTCCGACCTCAGTCCCCTCTGATCGCACTCTCCGCCTAGGTGTCCAGCCTCCCTGCCCCTCGGTTCGGACTCCTCTGTGCCCTCTGACAGCACCTCTCCTGCCTGAGACCCTCCAACGCCCGCCTTTGTAGGCAGGTTACTCACCTGGGCGTTAAGTTGAGTCCATCTCTTCCTAAAGAGGCGGAAGCTGTAGGAGACGAACTTCCGTTTTCTTTCCCAACTTAAGCAAATGTATTGTTGTTGTGTGCCGTCGAGTCGGTTCCGACCCATAGCGACCCTGTATAGGGTTTCCGTGGAGCGGCTGGTGAGCTTGAACCGTCGACCTTACAGATCAAACCGACCTGCGGTCCAGCGCATTGACCCGCAGCGCCACACCATGACTCAGGGCGAGAGTAGCATTGAACCCGCATCAATGCGCCTAGAGCGCCTAGAGTTTCTCCAGGTGTGGTGGACATGTGAGCCGTGTGTACGCTGGCCCCTTCTTGCCTTGCCCTTTTAGCACCTCACTGACACATTGCCATGTGCCCACGGAGACGACGACCTCTGGTGCTCCCCAGCATCGCAAGATCCTTGTTTTTGTTAAGTGCCATCAAGTTGGTTCCGACTCATAGCGACTCTGGATTGAGTTTTGAGGCTTTAGAAAAAATCTTTAGGGAAACAGACGGACTCCTCTTGCTCCCACTTAACAGCTGGAGGGCTCGAACCGCAGACCTTGTGGTTGTCAGTCCAGTGCTTATCTTATGGAGCCACTGCGCTTTCCACAGGGCCCATCTACTCCCTGCCAAATGCCCCAAACTCGCCTGTGTTTAGACTCGGGATCCACATGCTGCATTATAAGAGGTGGGCATCGTGGTTTCATCTCTTTAATGAACTTCTGCACTGATAGAAGGAATCCTGGTGATGCAGTGGGTTAAGCAAGGTTGGTGGTTCGAATCCACCAGTCGCTCCAATGGAGAAAAATGAGGGTATCTGCTGCCATTAAAGTTCACAGTCATGGAAACACTACAGAGCAGTTCTACTTTGCATCTAATTCAGTGGAAGGCACTGGGTGCTCACAGACCTCAGCAGAAGGGCGTGGCAGTCTGCTTGGGAAAGGTCACAGCTTGACGCTAACCCTAGCCGTTGCTATATAAGTCATGGTAGACTCAAGGGCGCCTGGGACTGGTGCTGACAGGTAAGTGTGTGGTGGTGCTGTGGGTCAGGCTCTGGGGAGGCTGCTGATTGCCTGGTCAGCAGCTCAAACCCACCAGCTGCTCCTCCAGAGAAAGATGAGGCTGTCTGCTCCCGAAGAGATTTACATTCTCGGAAGCCCTATGAATGACTCCTGTGAGTCAGGATCTACTCGATGGCAGAGGATTTGGGTGCTGATGGTAAATGTGGAAACACACAAACTTAAGTGGGCTACAGTGGCCTGTTGCGGAAGTAGAGCAAATGGGCCCAACCAGCCATTCTGGAACGTTGCCACTTCGAGCTTTGTGAAGACAGAGCATCCCTGCCGAAAGTGGCTGGCCACCAGGCTAGTTTATTCCGCTGCCCTATAGATAGCATTCTTATCAATGGAGAAAAGACTGAAGGTGTCAAAGACTTCTTTTTTCTCTCAGATCAACCATCAACACTCATGGAAGCAGCAGTGAAGAAATTAAACGACGTATTGCATTGGGTAAATCTGCACAAGACCTTTTTAAAGTGCTGAAGAGCAAAGATTTCAGTTTGAGGACTAAGGTGCGCCTGACCCAAGCCATGGTCTTTTCAGTAACCTCATATGCATGCGAAACCTGGACAGTGAATAAGGAAGATCATAGAAGAATTGGTGATTTTGAGTTATGGTGTTGGAGGAGAATATTGAAAGTGCCATGGGCTGCCAAAAGAACCAACAGATCTGTGTTGGAAGAAGTGCAGCCAGAGTGCTCCTTGGAAGCCATGATGGCCAGATTTCATCTCTTACACTTCGGACATATTGTCAGGAGGGACCAGTCACTGGAGAAGGATATCATGTTTGGTAAGGTGGAGGGTCAGAGAAAAAGAGGAAGACCTCCAGTGAGGTGGATTGGCCAAGTGGCAGCATCAGTGGGCTCAAGCGAGGCAACAATTGTGAGGTTGGCTCGGGACCAAGGCAGTGTTTCGTTCTGTTGTGCATAGGGTCGCTATGAGTCGGTACCGACTTGATGGCACCTAACAACAACAACAACAATAGACAGCAGGTTAAAGGAACCTTGAAGTTGTGCTGCACACATGGGAGGAAGGGTCCCTTGGCTGCGCCTGTCTCAACTGTCTGGAGGCTCCCTGGGATGATGACCAACCCCAGGTGCCTTCTGCATGGGAGTGTCAACAGTGAGAGAGTTGGAAGTCAGAGCCCCCAGAACTGCCAGCATTAGGATGGTCTGTCTGGGGCGTTTCCGGGACCCTGTCACCTCTGTGGCCCCCTCCTCATAGCAGGATTTTTGTTCTCGCCCAGCTCCCGATTCTTCTGAAAGGCACGTCGGATGACGAGGCTCCGTGTCCTGGCTACCTGTTTGAAGAGATTGCTAGTATCCTTTCTCAGCGTCCCTGGTGGGGGAGTGGGCGGCAGGGCCCCACGCACCTGGGGGTGCCTGGAGCTCTCCTATCTGCAAATTGGGCATTGGGGGGTAAGAAGGTGGTGTTGAGATGGCATGGGCCCTCGGGCACCACACTCTCTTACCGTGCCTGCCTGTCCGTCCCTAACCCGTGCACCCTGACATCTCCCACGAGTCCCTGGGGAGCAGCCAGTGCTTGCTGGAATATCTCCTGAGACGCCTGCAGAGCAGCTCAGGTCACGTGAAGCTCAAGGTGAGGTGTGAGCCTGGGGGTGGGGCCAGGGGGCTGGAGTGAGCGGGTCCTATCGATCGCCCCGCCCACACAGCTCCGCCCCCAGGTGTTGAAGATCCTTCTGTACCTGTGCAACCACGGCTCTTCCTCCTTCCTGCTGATCCTCAAACGCAACTCCGCCTTCATCCAGGAAGCCACAGGTGTGGGGGGCGCTCAGGGACTGGGGCCACGTCATCTGTGCCCAGAGCTTGCCCGCCGAGGACAGCCAGCTGTAGGGGACCCAGATTGTGGGGGTAGGGTTGCGATGGGGTGATGTACCCCGCTCCCTGAGACATGGGTTCCGAGTGCTGACCCCATGCCCTGGACCCCCACGTGTGGCTCAGTGCCCTTTTCTCCATCTGCAGTTTTCGCTGGACCCCCTGATCCACTTCATGGGACCAGTTTGTACCAGAAGGTGCGGCTGGCTGCCCAGGTGAGATCCCGCCCCTTTTACGTCCCTCACCCAGAGCCTGAGACCCTGCCCCTTTTACGTCCCTCACCCAGAGCCTGAGACCCCGCCCCTTTACGTCTCTCACCCACAGCCCTGTGTATTTCCCCCACAGTGGGGGTGGGGGTGGCAGGCAACCTGAGAGCTTCTTGCCCCCATTTAGGACCTGGGGGGTGCCCTGTTCTCAGACGCTGTGTCGCCGCTGCCCTCCCCCCAGACGCCCAGGCCGCTGCCTCCTGTTGGTACGTGATGTGGCCCGGGCTGGGCTCCCATCTCCTCCCCCTGCCCACAGTCCTGGTGTGAGTTGGGGGTGCATCATGGCACTGAGCCCGGCCCTCCTCCCGCAGGGATGGGCTCTCAGCCCCAGCCCCACAGCGCCCTCCAGGGCTTCGGTTATAGCCAGCAGAGAGGCCGCGTGGGTGAGTGGGATGTTGACCAGGGGCTGCCACCGAAGGCACAGCATGGAGCCGGAGGGGGACCAGCTTCTGCTGCCCCAGTGTGCTACCCAACCCCGTGCCCTCTGTCCACCTGGGGTAAGGAGGGCGGGGTGGCGCCCTGTCTGGGAGAGTTGGGGCGGGGGTCCAGCGCCACTCTCCCCTCCGCTGCAGGCTCTGCAGGGGAAGTCTTGCTGTCCACCATCCAGAAGGCCACCGAAGCTGTGGCAAATGCTGTGCTTCCGGCGCTTGAGCGGCGAGGCAGCCTGAGAGCCACGCCTGGGGGTAGCACCTACCAGCCTGCCGTGACTCCGTCCACCAGTCAGCTCCCCCCTGGGAGACCATTCCCTGGGATCAGCCCCACAACCCGAGGTGTGGCAGCAGGTGCTTCCCTAGGCTGGGGGCACCCTGTGGGGCTGGAGGACACGGGAGGCCTCCAGGGACTGGGGACTCTGGTCTGACCTGGCTGCTACCTCCTTCAGCTGTGAGACATCAGCCCGGGCAGCCCGGGGGTGGCTGGGAGGAACCGGACAGCAGCTCCAGCTCCCAGGGCTCGTCCCAGAATGGCGGCCAGAGCCGAGTCTCGGACTCGGGCAGCGGTGGTGTCAGTGATGGCCGCTCGGGGGCCAGCCGGGAGCCTGGCGAGCTGGCCGAGAGGTGCGGGGTTCAGCAGGGAATGTGTGGGCTCAGGACTCCCTTCAGCCCCTCCCTGCCCTGGGTCCCCTGCCCCCACCTCCCCTTCCTAGATGCCCCCTGCTCGACCTTTCCCTAGGACCTTCCCCACTGTGGGGAGGAGGACTCCTCCCCGGCCCCCTCCCTTGACCCAGCTGTCCGTCCGCCGTCTTGTCTGTCACCAGGGTGGAGGCTGTGGCCCTGAATGACTGGCAGCAGGAGACGAGCCTGGTGAGGGCCGTGAGTCGGGGTCCACGTGCCTTCCTGAGCCGAGAGGAGGCCCAGCACTTCCTCAAGGAGTGAGTGTCCCTGCCCTCCCTGAGCCCAGGCTGGCCTGTGGTCACCCCCCGGCCGGCCCCTGGCCCAGCTGTCCCTCTGTGCAGGTGTGGACGACTCAACTGTGAGGCTGTGTTGGAGTTGCTGATCCGCCAGTTGGACAGGACCCAGGAGTGCGAGCAGATGGTGAGGGCCCCGGGAGGTGGGCAGAAGTGTGTATACCTGCTTGCAGTTACAAGTGTGCCTATACCTGTGTCTGCACACAGTCACAGATTACAAATGAGTTGTCTTCACTCGAGTTTCTCCAGAACAATGCAGTGCAGTTCGTGTGCCCTGTCAGTGCCGTTTGGCTTCGTGTCTAGTGGCCTTTGTGTGCATCAAACTCATTGAAGAAAGACTTCCAGATGATCTAAAGCATCTTGTAGCAGAAATCATAAACGTACACAGCGTGTGGCTGCGTGTCACAAGAACCGCCTGTTTGTTGTTATGAACCTTTGTGTGTAGCTCACATTTTTAATCTAACTGGGTTTATGGGTTGAATGGCTGCCTGTAAGTGAGCGTAAATGTCTATGAGCTCCAGTGCGTGTGTGTGTGTACATACGTAAGTGTACACGTGTATATATGTGTGCAGACATGTACACGCATGCTTAGGTGGGCATACATGTGTGCCAGCCACCGCTCCAGTGCATGCAGGTTTGTTTATATGTGTGCACACCTGCAGGGGTGTGTGTATGTATGGAAGGGGCAGGCTGAGGGGCGTTGAGTGCTCAGTGCCCCAGGTTCTGTGCTAGGGGTCAGAGTGGGAGAAGTGCACTGAGGGGTCTGCTGAGGACCCCTGTGCCCTGGCCCCTAGTGAGAAACTGGGGAGGGCCAGCGGGCTGTCCTTCCGGGGTGGGTGCCGGTGCCATACTCAGTGCAGCTGCCGTAAGGTGTGGAGTGTGAGCCCCCCTTTTCTCCGCCTCTGCAGAGAACCCTGTGTGCCCTGTCCACTCTCGGTGGCTCCGACCTGCTGTCCCAGGAGCACGTGCTGCAGCTGGCCCGGCCAAGACTGCAGGAACTCAGTGTGGGCAGCCCTGGGCCCGTGACCAGCAAGGCCACCAAGGTGAGCAGGGAGTCCCATGATGAGAGTCAAGGCATCAGGAGACACGCTTACATACGTGATGGCTGGCGGGTGTACATGTGCACACAGCACCGCCTGGGTATCCAAGAGTGAACGGCTGGCAGAAATGGGCACGTGGGGTGGACACCTGGACCCCAGATTTCTTCCCTCTATCTTTTTAGCTCCTGAGACACTTGGAGGCCTCATGTCGGCAGCGGTCCCCAACCTGGAGGCTCCCTGTGGAGCCTGGCCCCACTGTCCCTGAGGACACCCGAGCCTGCCCTCCCGACCTGCTAACCGACACGGCACCTTTACCAGGTGGCCAGCTGTCCCTGCCACCTCTGAGTCCAGCCCTGCTCCTTCCCGGCCCTGCACCCACCCCGGCCCCTGGCGACACACGTGTAGGCCCAGAGAGTGTCAGAGAGGCCGAGGTGACCCTGGCCATTCTCAGGGGGCCGGGAGCCGGGTCTGCCACCCTGGACGGAGGCCCTGAGGCCCTGGCTGTCGGCAGCAGCAAGTCCTTATTTGCGGGCATGGAGCTGGTAACCAGGGAGCCTCTCCTGCCCCACTCACCTTCTGAGGCCCCCCAGATGCTGCTGTCGTCGAGGGCAGCTGCCCAAGTCCCTCCTGCCTCAGAGCTTTCGGCATTCCCGTTCTTGAACGAGTGACATCTGTCTTGCACTGACCACCCACCGCTGGGGTTTCCTGTCCCAGGCAGGCAGGCAGTGACACCCAGGATCCACGCTCAGACCACGTGTACCTCAGAGGAGCGGTCACCACCGGGTCACTCTGTGGTGACAGCCCTCCCCACCTCCTTGGGCGGAGCCTGAATGTCACAGGTCGGGAGGGGGCTCACGATGCTGCTGCCTGGGGCCCAGCAAGCCCGAAGCACAGGTTCCCATCTGGTTTCCCCTGATGGTCCCACGGGGACACTCTTGATTGCCTGAGTCGGGCAGAAGGGCAGCCCCCAGGACTTCCAGGGAGCGGGGACAGAGCTGAGCTCGTGTAGGCCCCAGTGCTACTCTAACTAACTGTGGGTAGCCAGCAGTCCCCTGGCCTTCCCCCCATGGGGTACATGATGGGGTCGGTAAGGGGAGAACGGCCGGGGGAGATCATCTGTCCATGCAGATGAGGGTTCAGTGACCACCGCCAAACTCTCCTGGAACCACCTTCTGGAGTCCTTAGGACTCCACCCCAAGAGCTGAGTGGCTCGTGACTGGAGGGACCCAGTGTCTCTGTGTGGGGGCTGGGAGGAGGCCAGGAGGGCTGGGCAGCTCAGTCTAGGGACATGGCATGGGACAAGGCCCCAGGCTGCCTTGTCTCTGGTGTCTCCTTACCATCAGCTAGCTGCTGGGCCTGAAGTCCTGTAGTGATGGGGGACAGCCGACAGTCCTCAGAAAAGCTGACCTCTCTCAACCCTTGGTTGTCCCTGTGGTACACTATGGCCTGGCCCGTGGAACGATGTTTCTGCTGTGGGTTTGGAGGCCGTTTCTGTGTTCTTCCTCCATGCGGTGGTTTTGAGCTCAAGTCCCCTCTTCCCTAAAGAGGTCAGCAGCTGCTGCACAAGACCCGCTTCTTGTTCAGGCAGGGTGGGGTGCTGGGAGACAGCTTTTGTGCACAGGGGACCCACACGTGTTGATCCCTGTTGCAGCTCTCCAGACCTGTCCAGCCCATCCCAGACCTCTGGGATTTGCACTTTCTAAATAAACACTTGTTTACACAGAGCCAGAACCATTGTCTTTCTCCCCCCTTTCTTTTTGTTCTTCCATCCTGGGTATTTACCCCAGAGAAATAAAAACAGACCTTCACACAAAAGCCCCCAAGTGAATGTTGACTGCCACACTTAGCAATCTCCCTAGGCCATCTCATGGATGGAAGTCCTTCTCACAGATGGGAGGCCTAGGGGAACCCCAGAAGAGCCACATGGGGGACTCAGAACCATGAGTGCAAGAATTGGACTCAAAATCTGAGTAGTACGCAACTCCATGTGTACAGCTTGCTTGGCAAAAAGTGTCGTGATCATAAATGGATCCGTTGGGGCCAGGGGCTGAGGGTGAGGAGGTACTGGGCTGCAGAGGGGGTCTGAGGTGGGAGAGTTGTGCATCTCAGCTGCGGTGACGGCTGTACAATCATACAGGTCTGTTGGGGCTGTGAGCTGCACCTGCCCCAACAGTCTTGTGAGCTTTGTAGAAATGTCACTGCTGTCTGATTTAAGGAGACACATTAGGTGAGGGTAAAGATAACCTTCACTTGGGGAGCAGGGAAGGGAAAGTGAGCAGTTTAGGCCCTAGCCCACCCAAGAATGTGGGGAAGGTGGCTACTGTGCTGGGTAGGCGACCCACCTGTTGGGCAGGAAGTGAGGGAATGTCAGGTAGAATAGCTGACAAGTGACTGCAGTGTGTGGGGTAGGGACTCAAAACTTTTGCGGAAAATGAAAACAAGGTGAGACATAGAAAAGCAAAAGACACCAGTGTTGGGACAGGACAGAGCAGGCCTTGGACTTGGGGTCAGTGTCTCAGGGTCTGGGAGGAAGCGGGTAGTAGAAGGATCTGTGGCTAAAGCTGCTTGGTACGGCCTTCGAAGCCGGTGCCGCTCACGGGACAGCGAATGTCCAGGCTGTCCTGCAAGCGCCGGCCTGGACACACGGGACAGACTCAGGGACACGCGGTCTCTGGATACACTGCCCGGGACGCCTGCCCTCGGGAGAGCTGTGCCAGGCTCTCTGCAGGACAGAGCCACGCTTCCATATTGGTCTCCGCGGATGGACAGCGCGGGCGACGTACCCTCCTCGTTTTCTCCTCCTCCTCGGCCCCGCCCCTCCTCCGCTGTGTCCAATAGGCAGTCCGTGTCCCCCTCCAGGACCAATCGGGACGCGGCGCGGGCGGAGGGCGGGACGGGTGGCTGTCGCGGTAGGTGGAGCCCGCTGGTTGCTAGCCGCCGCCGCTGGGGACACCCATCTGTCGCCGACGCTGCGGAGGCTGAGCCTGGGGCGCGCGGACGCAAGGTGCGGGCCGAGGCCTGGTCTCGGCTCGCGACTCCCGGATCGCGCAGGTCAGCAGGGCCGAAACGGGTGGAGGACCCGGAGGCCATCGGCGGGCATCGGGGCCCGGCCACAGCTAGGCCCGGGGTCTCCTTGGCACCGGGGATGGGGGTGGGGGGTTCACAACCCCGGAGGGAGCGGAGGGGAGGCGGGGAGAGGGGGCAGGACTCCCGTATCCATGCTGGAAGGGGAGGCCGCTTGGTCCAGGCCGCAGCTGGATGGCCTTGCTCCATGAGTGATAGTGGATGAGCGCCCCTGACCACTTGAACCCTGCTGATGGTCCCGATTTCCAGCTCAGGCGCGTCCATGCCTCTCATACCAGGTGCTGGGCCACACGCTCTGCCCTCATGGGCCTTTTTCACCCTGGAACCCCCCACAGGGAAGAGGGACAGGAGTGAAGGGTGAGAAGTTGGCGTCCCAAAGCCCGGAGCAGGGAGCAACTCTGAGGTCGGAGGAAGGGCCTCTGGGTTCAGGGGAAGCAGCTTGTTGGGTTTGAGGGATAGTTTGGTGACCAGCTGGGCTAACTTGGATTGTGGAACCAATGATGGGGTCAAACACAGGCAGAGAGGCGGGGTCTGGTCTGGCCATTAGGAGTTTGGACTCTCTTCCCTATGGCCATAAGCCAGTGGAAAGGTTTCCAGTAGGGACAGCATAGTCTTGGGAAGCACACACAGTGAAGTTCAAGTCCACCCAAAAGTGTCTCAGAAGAAAAGCCTGGCAACTACTTTCAAATATCCACTATTGGAAACCTCACGAGCACATGCCTACTCTGACACACATGGGTTGCCCTGAGCTGGAGTTGACTCCATGGTACTTGGTCAATGTGATGTCAGATACTTGTGGAGTGGGGGACAGTGGCAGGGGTCAGGGTTACGGGGTGGGGGAAGTGAATGGTGGGAGACAGCCCTGACAGGGTGCTGAGAGCTGGCATGGAGGAGGGGAGGGGTGCCAGGTAAGAGGGAGACCTTTGCGAAGCCCGGTTACACAGTTGGTGAGGGACCAGTCTGAAGTGGCATCAGGAGTGGTGTCTTGGCCTTGTGGACATGAGAGTGTTGGAGTTGGGGATATGAGTCTGGAGCTAGGACCCATCTGGATGGGAGGCACAGGCGGGGGGAGTGGTCAGCAGGCGGCCTAGGAGAATGTGGACAGAGATCGAGTCTTAGACATTGGAGAGGATGGGGACCCTAGAAAAAGAGGGCAGGATTGTGTGTTCCAGGGGTCTCCAGGGGCTGAGGCTGTGTGACTGGTGATCTGGTTGATGTAGAATCTCTTGGACTGGGTCCCAGTTAGAACAGTTCCCCTGAACCTCATCATACCCTGTGAGAGGCTGTTCAAGGTGCAGGTGATAGGGCTTAGGGAAGCTCGGGGTCAGATACTCTGTGGCATAGCGGGAGCCCCCCTGTTCTCCCTCACTGTGGGGGTTTGCCTGACCAGGAGAGACTGGGCAGGCGCTGTGGTCCTCAGGGGGCCCCCTCACTGCCTCTCCTGTTCTGCCATTCAGATGTCATCGCCCGCAATGAAAGGCTCCCGGACCAAGGGCGGCATCCCCGAGGGCAGCCCAGACTATGCAGATCTGAGCCTGACTGGCCAGCCCCCACCCATGTCCCGGCGCCCCAACAGTGCCTCTGCCGCCAAGCCCCTGGCCCGCTCCATCTCTGTAACCACGGGCAGTGAGCCCAGAAGGAAAGCGCTGGTGAGTGTTCCTCTGGGCCCCAGTCTGAGGGCCAGCCTCCTTTACCACCGAGCGGCTCTGTTGAAGCCCTTGGGGCCCTGGTGTGGGGGGCGCAGTGATGAGCACCTGATGCTTGTCATTCTTTGTCGTTTCAATACCAAGACAAATAAAAATTACAACTAGAATCAGTGAAGGTCTGGGTGGGTATAGATAGGGAGAGAGATGAATGAGTATCAGAAAAAAGAAAACCAAATTAAAGCTAGGCATCTTTTGGGTCATCTCTCCTAGAACTGTGTTATTAACTTCATTTCCTTTTCCAATGCTTAGCTCATAAATCAGAGATTTGAAAGAAAGAAAGGAAAAAAAACAAAACAGTTTTAAAGGAAGCTGAGAAGATTTCAAAGATGCATGAAGCGAGGGAAAACTGTCAGCCTTGACCAGTGGAGACTCTGGCTGGAGTCCAGGAGCTGGTGGCCAGAGACCATAAATGAGCCTGTGATGCCGCAGCCACTAGAGTTCACATCTCACCTGGTTGGACATTTTCAGTTGCACGTGAACATGTTGGCCTCAGCAAGCTTTCAGTTCGATGGGTGCTAAAAGCTTTTAGCCAGGATCAGCTAGCTCAGAGAGCTGGTCTATTGTAAGCAGGCACAAGTCTTGGGTTTATAAATACAATCCAGCCCAATGAAAGCAGTGGCTTCTGAGGGGATCGGCTGGGTCACTTACAATCAGCTCAGAAGGTTATGGCGACTGCTTTTTGAGATTCCAAAGGGGTAATCCTGATAAATATTTTTGAAGAACCCAGGACAATCACAGAGACTTAGAAGTTTTCAGAAAATTAGAAGCTACATGGATGATAAAAAAGGCCAGGGAAGTTGTACAAAGAACTCTTTTTGCATCATGAAAACACCTGCTCACACTTCAAGGGTAGCATGGGCTGTCATCCTCAGAGAAGTTCATAGGGAAAACTTGCCCCATCCACCCTTTAGCCCTGAGCTTCCCCAGACTCCAAGAAAGTTAGACAGAACACGATTTGGCTCCCTCTACGGAGTTTTGAAGGAGTTCTGGTAGCGTAAGGTTACGAATCGGCCTGCTAACCTCAAGGTCAGCAGTTCGAAACTACCAGCTGTTCCATGGGAGAAAGATGAGGATTTCTGCTCCCGTAAAGATTTGCAGCCTCGGAAACCCTGTGCAGGGTCTCTGTGAGTCGGAACCAACTCCACGGTACTTAACAACAACAACAGGGAGTTTTGATTCTGACAATCACATAGTTAACTATACCAAGAATGGCAAATTGAAGAGGAATGGTATCACATTCATCGTCAAAAATCACATCTCAAGACCTGTCTTGGAGCCCAGCAATGTCTGTGATCAGATGATATCCATGCGCCTGCACGGAAGGTCAGTTAATACAACAGTTATTCAAATTTACGCAGCAACCACTAAAACCAGTAGTGATGAAATTGAAGAGTTCTACCAATTTCTTCAGTCTGAAACTGATCAAACATGCAGGCAGGATATATTGATAATTACTGGTGATTGGAATGCAAAGGTTGGAAACAGAGGAAATATCAGCATTTGGCCTTGGTGGTAGAAACTATGCTAGAGATCTCATGATAGAATTTTTCAAGACCAATGACTTCTTCTTTGCAAAGAGTTTTATTAAACAACATAAAAGATGACTATACACATGAACCTCACCAGATGGAATACACAGAAATCAAATAACTGTATCTGTGGAAAGACATGATGGAAAAACTCCATATCACCCATCAAAACAAGGCCAGGGGTGGGCTGTGGAACAGACCAACAATTGCTCATATGCAAATTCAGGCTGAAGCTGAAGAAAATGAAAACAAGTCTACAAGAGCCAAAATATAACCTTGAACATATCCCACCTGAATTTAGAGATCATCTGAAGAACAGATTTGATGCATTAGACACTAAAGACCAGAGACCAGAAGAGTTGTGGGATGACATCATGAACATCAAACAGGAAGAAAGCAAAAGGTCATTAAGAAGACAAAAAAGAAGAAAAAGACCAAAATGGATGTGAGAAGTGACTCAAAAAATTGTTTTTCAGCATAGAAAAGATAAAGCAAATGGAAGATAAATGAGCTGAATAGAAATTTTTAAAGGGCGGCTCAAAAAACCTGTCAAATATTATAATGAAATGTGCAAAGACCTGGAGTTAGAAAACTAAAATGAAAGAACATGCTCAGCATTTCTCAAACTGAGGAAATCCAAGAAAAAATTCAAGCCTCAACTTGTGGTATTGAAGGATTCTATGGGCAAAATATTGAATGATTCAGAAAGCATCAAGAGAAGATGGAAAGAATACACAGAGTCACTGTACCCAGAGGAAAGGGCCCACATTCAACCATTTCAAAAGGCAGCGTATGATAATGAGGGAAAAGTCCAAGGTGCACTGAAGGTATTGGCAATGAACAAGGCTCAGGGAATTGATGGAATACAACTTGAAATCTTTCAGCAAACCGATACAACTCTGGAGGCACTCACTCATCTCTGCCAAGAAATTTAGCAGACAACTACCTGGCCAACTGATTGGAAGAGATCCATTTTTTGTGCCCATTCCAAAGAGAGATGGCCCAAAGGAATGTGGAAATCATTGGACAATATCATTAATATTGCATGCAAGTAAAATTTTGCTAAAGATAATTTAAAAAATGGCTGCAGCAGTACATTGACTGGGAGCTGCCAGAGGTTCTGGCTGAATTCAGACGAGGATGTGGAACATCATTGCTGACGTCAGATGGATCTTAGCTGAAAGCAGAGTATACCAGAAAGATGTTTGTTTGTGTTTTATGAACTGTGCAAAGGCTTTTGACAATGTGGATCATAACAAGCTATGGACAACATTGTAGAATATAAATATTCCAGAACACTTCATTGTGCTCATGAGGAACCTGTACTTAGACAAAGAGGCAATTGTTTAACCAGAACAAAGGAACACTGAATGGTTTAAAATTAGGAAAGGTGTGTGCTAGCATAGTATTCTTTCACCATACTTATTCAATCTGTATGCTGAGCAAATAATCCGAGAAACTGGATTATATGAAGAAGAACATGGCATCAGGATTGGAGGAAGACTCATTTACAGCCTATGATGTGCAGATGATACATCGCTTCTTACTGAAAGTGAAGAGGATTTAAAATACTTACTGGTGAAGATCAAAGACCACAGCCTTCAGTATAGGTTGCACCTCAATGTTGAAGAAAATCTTCACCACTGGACCAATAAATAACATCAAGATAAATGGAGAAAAGATCGAAGTTTTCAAAGACTTCATTTTGCTTGGATCAACCATCAACACTCATGGAAGCAGCAATCAAGAAATCAAATGACGTATTGCATTAGGCAAATCTGCTGCACAAGACCTCTTTAAAGTGTTGACGAGCAATGATGTTAGTTTGAGGACTAAGGTATACCTGACCCAAGCCATGATATTTTCAACAGCCTCATATACATCTGAAAGTTGGACAATGAATAAAGAAGACCATAGAAGAATTGATGCATTTGAGTTATGGTGTTGGAGGAGAATATTAAAAGTACCATGGAGTGCCAGAAGAACAAACCAGTTTGTGTTGAAGAAGCACAGCCAGAATGCTCGTTAGAAGCCAGGATGGTGAGACTTCGTCTCTCATAGTTCGGACATATTATCAGGAGGGACCAGTCCCTGGAGAAGGCCATCACGGTTGGTAAAGTGGTGGATCAGCGCAAAGGAGGAAGACCCCCAATGAGATGGATTGGCACAGTGGCAGCAACAATTGGCTCAAGTGTAGCAACGATTGTGAGGTTGGCGCGGACCCGGAAGTGTTTTGTTCTGTTGGGCATAAAGTTGCTATGAGTTGGAATTGATTAGATGGCACCTAAGAACAACAGCATGAAAGAGATTTAACTTTGATGAAGTCCTATTTACCAGTTTTTTATTTTTTTGTATTGTGCTTTTGATGTCATAGCCGAGAAACCTTTCCCTCACCCAAGGTCACCAAGATTTTCTTCCATGTTTTCTTCTAGAAGTCTTATAGCATTAGCTCTTTGACTTGGGTCTGTGAATCATTCTGAGTTCGATTTTGTTATGGTGTGAGGTAGGGGTTCTGGTTCACTTGTTTATATGTGGATATCCAGTAACCACTGCCCTATCTCCAGTAAACTGTCTTAAGGTCTTTCTTTGTGCTTTCGACTATACAGACTATAAATGTGAGGGTTTATTCTGGGGCTCTGTCTACATGTCTATCCCTGAGCAACTACCTCCCCATCTTGGTTACTACAGCTTTACTGTAAGACTTGAAATCGTGAAGTGTAAGTTTTCCAACTTTGTTCTTTATCTGAGTTCTTCTGGATAGTTTAGATCTTTATGTTTTCATATAAACTTTTGGATCAGTTTGTTAATTTCTACAAAAGGGCAGCTGGGGATTGATAAGGGACCAGGTTGAATCTGCACGTCACATGAGGGACTTGGTCAGTTGCTGTCTGTACTGAGCATGAAGTGATTTGTGCATCGTGTCTAGAGCTAGTTTCTGGTCTAGCACCTTTCCTAAAAAAGCGTGAGGAATCCATTCAGTAGGAAAGTGCCTCCCTCGTTACTTGTGTTACCTGTGGGTCTGGCCGTCCCTGCGAGTGCTATTTGAGGAGACTGCTCTGAGGCTTAGGCCATCCATCTACGAGCATGTCCGTCCTTGTGAGCAAACCCGGAAAGGGCAGAGAGCAGTTAACAGAGATTCTCTGTCTGTGGGGTCATGGGTGCGATGAGCTTCCCTTCTTAGTTCTTTCTGTGTTGGTTACATTTCCAGAAAATATTCATGAAGCAGAAAACAGTTTGACGTTAAGAAAATTAAAGGTGTATGTGAAAATGTCAGCTGTCTGGCTCTCCTTAGGGGAATTGGAACACCATCAGTGGAACCGCAGTGAAGGGAAGATGCTCAGAGGCCACGACATTGGGTTCCTGCTTTTGACTTTGGACTTTTTGTTTTGTTCTTGAGGGTCTGTGAACCAGGAGGTCCCTCCTCATCAAGTGTGAGGCCTGACCTGGGGGTGGGCGGTGAATGCAGTGTCTTGCCACTGCTCCCTCTTTTGCAGGAGACCTCAGAGCCCGGGGGCTCCCGTTCTGTCAACAACCTTCGGAGATCAAATAGCACCACTCAGGTCAATCAGCCATGGGCCAGCACCCTCAGGTAACCCTGGGCCCCCTCAGGTAACCCTGGACCCCCTCAGGTAACCCTGGGCCCCCTCAGGTAACCCTGGGCCCTCTCAGGTAACCCTGGGCCCCCTCAGTTAACCCTGGACCCCCTCAGGTAACCCTGGGCCCCCTCAGGTAACCCTGGGCCCCCTAAGGCAACCCTGGGCCCCCTCAGGAAACCCTGGGCCCCCTCAGGTAACCCTGGGCCCCCTCAGGAAACCCTGG